GGGGGGGGGGGGGATAAATTTGTACAGGTAAGCTGGGCCGAAACCGTTTAGGACTTTATAAGCTAAAGCCAGCACTTTGCATTGTGCTCGGTAGCAGACTGGCAGCCAGTGGAGCTGGTGTAACAAGGGTAGTGTGCTCCCTGTACTCCGCTCCAGTGAGTAGTCTGGCTGCCGCCCATGGGACCAAACAGTCTTCAAAGGCAAACCATGTGGATAGTTCTGCTGTTCAGTCATCCTCACCAAATACATTACTAGAGAAGTGGGTGAGAGAAGTTCAAATGATACAAATCGGTCTAAAAAGCAGATGTTTGAATGGGGCTTCCATTAAACCCCTGGGTCGAGCTCTGGTGCACAGGTCTCCAGTTGCTACATTTCCCGTTCAAGCACCAGCCTGGCTAATTACATTTTGGGTCCAAAATAAATCTTTGTACAAGGTATATATAGCAGTCCCCTTCACAGTCCTCCAGCATATTTCTCAGGAGTTGATTTATCTTTTTAATCACTTTCTTCAGTGTCCAACTTTGTCAACTTTACCCAGAAAAGGGAGCTGCAGGGGCAAAACAATCCTAATTTTAGTACTGAGTTGTATATATCGACACTAGAGTATCTTGTTGGGGTTCTTCGTTATGCTCTTCAAAGTCCTACTCTCTTTTGCTGACTATTTTGCTAAACCTAAATGACAGCTTTCATCTCTGCACTTCCTTCTTGACAAAAAATCTTGGCCAGGGAGGGTGGATCTGCAATGCAGTTTGGCACCCTTGAACTGCCAGGACTCAGGGTGAGGGATCCTGGGAGCTGTCCTACAAGCTCTTTTTGCCTTCTCTGCCAACAAAAAGGACGGCAGGCGCTTCCCCAAAGCCCAGGATCCCATCGTGTGGAGTACAAGGGGTGTCAAAGTGGAGATGCACCCTCAATCTGCATTCCAGAGCCAGTTGGAGAATGCAACTGTGGGATTTTTTTTTCTTTCGTGTCAGGAGCGACTTGAGAAACTGCAAGTCACTTCTGGTGTGAGAGAATTGGCCGTCTGCAAAGTCATTGCCCAGGAGAAGCCCGGATGTGTTACCATTCTGTGAGAGGCTTCTCATGTCCTCACATGGGAAGCTGGAACTGACAGATGGGAGCTCACCCCTCTCAGTGCCCCCAGTGGCGAAATGGGTTAAACCCTTGTGCCAGCAGGAATAAAGACCAACAGGCTGGAGGTTCGAATCCGGGGAGAGCGCAGATGAGCATCTTCTGTCAGCCCCAGCTCACCATACGGGGACATGAGAAAAGCCTCTCACAGGATGGTAACACATCTGGGCATCCCCTGGGCAACGTCCTTGCAGACGGCCAATTCTCTCACACCAGTAGCGACTTGCAGTTTCACAAGTTGTTCTTGACACAGAAAAGGCTCCACTGTGTCATGAATGCAGTTTGACACTACTTTAACTGCATGGCTCTTCCACTCAGCCCTATATCCCGGAATATCAAGGCAGAAAATCCCACATTATCTGAGTGTGGACTCAGATAACTCAGTTCAAAGCAGATATAGTGCGATGTATTGTCAAAGGCTTTCATGGCCAGAATCACTGGGTTGTTTTAGGTTTTTCCAGGCTATATGGCCATGTTTTAGAGGCATTTTCTCCTGACGTTTCGCCTGCATCTATGGCAAGCATCCTTAGAGGTAGTGCCTTGATATTCTGGGATATAGGGCTGTGTGGAAGGGCCCTCAATGCTAGCGGATCCTGGAAGTTGCAGTTTGGTGAGGCAGTAACTCTTTTAAGCAGTGCAGGCTTAAGACCTTGTCAAGCAGTGTTTCTCAACTGTGCTAATGCCATGACCCCTTGATACAGTTCCTCGTGTTGTGGGGACCCCCAACCATAACATTATTTTCATTGCTACTTCACATCTGTAATTTGGCTCCTATTATGAGTTGTCATGTAAATATCCAATATGCAGGACCAAATTTGGCACAAATACCCAGTATGCCCAAATTTGAATACTGGTGGGGTTGAGGATTCGTGCCAAGTTGGTCAAGATCCATCATTGTTGGGTGGGTTGATTTTGTCATTTGGGAGTTGTAGTTGCTGGGATTTCTACTTCACCTACAATCAAAGAGCATTCTGAACTCCACCAATGATAGAATTGAACCAAACTTGGCACACAGAACTCCCATGACTAACAGAAAACACTGGAAGGATTTGGTGGGCATTGACCTTGAGTTTGGGAGTTGTAGTTCACCTACATCCAGAGAGCACTGTGGACCCAAACAATGATGGATCTGAGCCAAACTTGGCATGGATATGGCAAAATATGAACGCTGGTAGAGTTTGGAGAAAATAAATCTTGACATTTGGGAGTTGTAGTTGTTGGGATTTGTAGTTCGCCTACAATCAAAGAGCATTCTGAACCCCACCAAGGATAGAATTGGACCAAACTTTCCATGAATAGCCCCCATGACCAACAGAAAATACTGTGTTTTCTGATGGTCTTTGGCGACCCCTCTGACACCCCATCGCGACCCCCCCACGGGTCCCGACCCCCAGGTTGAGAATGTAAAATGACCACTCCCGGGATGCCATAGCTGTGAGCCAGGGCAGTCCAAGGGGTGCCAAGCTTGGGTTGCAGTGAAGAGGCGCCCTTGCAAGCCAAGGCTGCCTGCCTGCTTGCCTTCCTTTGCCGGTGCCCGAGGGCTACTTTGGCCCAGCTCAGCGGCGTCCCGTGCTCTCCTCGCCCTTTCCCTGCTGCTAAGAGCCCGAGCGGCGGAGGGAGGAGCCCGGATGAGGGCAGGCTGCCAGGGGATTCCCGGCACCAGGAGGAGGAAGAGGAGAGCCAGGACCGGCGAGCTGCCACTGCCCAAGCGAGGGCGATCCGGCGGGGCTTGTGGCGCCAGGTAAGGGGCAGTGGGGCGGGGTGGGCCCCAAAGAGAATGGGGGTCGCCTGCTGACAGCCCTTTGCCACTTCCCTGGCCTTTAACTCCGGCAGCCCCCGAAGGCAAGGGCGTCTTCCCAAAAGGGGGGGGGGGTTGTCCCTACTACTGACCCATCTTCAGGGAAAGAGCCCCGCCTGACTTCCTGGTTTCCGAAAGGCTTCTTTCTACCGGGCACGGGACCAGCCCGAGAGGGGAAGGGAAAGCGGGTCGCTGGGGACCTCGCACTCCTTGCGAGACTTGGAACTGGGAGAATGGAAACCAAAACCCTGAAGTTTCTTTTGAGTGGAAGAAGGCCCTCTGCCTTGGCTTTCCTCTGAGGCTGAGAGGGTGTGGCTTGCCCAAGGCCGCGCAGAGTATTTCCCTGGCTGAGCAAGGACTCAGGGCTCTGGAGCTGCCTTTCTCAACCTGGGGGTCGGGACCCCTGGGGGGGGGGGAGGTCGCCAGGGGGTGTCTGAGGGGTCGCCAAAGCACATCAGGAAACACAGTATTTTCTGTTGGTCATGGGGGTTCTGTGTGGGAAGTTTGGCCCCATTCCATCCTTGGCGGGGTTCAGAATGCTCTTTGATTGTAGGTGAACTAGAAATCCCAGCAACTACAACTCACAAGTGTCAAGGTCTATTTTCCCCAAACTCCACCAGTGTTCACATTTGGGTATATTGCCAAGTTTGGTCCTTATCTATCATTGTTTGAATACACAGTGCTCTCTGGATGTGGGTGAACTACAACTCCCAAACTCAAGGTCAATGTCCACCAAACCCTTCCAGTGTTTTCTGTTAGTCATGGGAGATCTGTGTGCCAAGTTTGGTTCAATTCCATCTGGTGGGGTTCAGAATGCTCTTTGATTGTAGGTGAACTAGAAATCCCAGCAATTGCAACTCCCAAATGTCAAGGTCTATTTTTCCCCATACTCCACCAGTGTTCACATTTGGGCATATTGAGGATTCGTGCCAAGTTGATCCAGATGGATCATTGTTTGAGTCCACAATGCTCTCTGGATGTAGGTGAACTACAACTCCCAAACTCAAAGTCAATGCCCACCAAACCTTCCAGTATTTTCTCTTGCTCATGGGAGTTGTGTGTGCCAAGTTTGGTTCAATTCCATCATTGGTGGAGTTCATAATGCTCTTTGATTGTGGGTTAACTATAAATCCCAGCAACTACAACTCCCAAATGACAAAATAAATCCTCCTCCCAACCCCACCAGTATTCAAATTTGGGCGTATCAGGTATTTGTGCCAAACTTGGTCCATTGAATTAAAATACATCCTGCATATCGGATATTTACATGACGATTCTTAACAGTAGCAAAACTACAGTTAGGAAGTAGCAACAAAAATAATGTTATGGTTGGGGGTCACCACAACATGAGGAACTGTGTTAAGGAGTCGTGGCATTAGGAAGGTTGAGAAACACTACTCTAGAGTCCTTGGTTTGGTCGTGGTTAATGGGGTTGGAGTCCCAACAAGTTCTCCAGTTTCCCTCCAACACAGGCATTGTAATTACAGAGCCAGTGGACTGCTCAACTAATTCCAAGCACAGCACTCGGGATGTCTTCTGGGGACAGAGACGCTCAGGAGGACGAGCTCCTTGCTCTGGCCAGTATTTATGATGAAGACGAATTCAAGAGAGCGCCCTCAGGGCGGGGAGGAGAGATCCAAGTTTTAGTGGACCTGCCTGAGGACTTCACCCTGTTGTGGAGTGGTGAGTCCCCCTTCTTTCTTACACACATTCTCAGTTGTGTCTCCACTCCCTCTGGATGCAGACTTGCTCTGGCCATAGACAACCACTCCAAGTTTGGTTCGTGTGCCTTGTGATCAGATGGCTTTCACTACCTAGGGTTAGATGAAAACCCATGGTATTGCTTTTATACAGATGGCATCTATGGAGGGTTGCAAAAAGCCTTCACTTATCTGTGAATTCTGTACTGAATCATGTGCTTGGTCTATTTTATAGACAAAATTATTCTCATATGTTCCTCAAAAATGTTTAGTCATTAAAAGAATACCATTCTGAGTCCCCTCAGGGAGAGAAGGTGGTCTATAAATAAAGCTATTATTATTATTATTATTATTATTATTATTATTATTATTATTAAAGGTAACAATCAGAACATTATAGTGTGAAAGGGCGAAGGAGCCTTGGAATAAACCTTTAATTGTAATATATCTACAGATAGTAAATACCATCAGCACTGTAAACAGTAAATAAAATATTTATTTATTTACTCTATTCCTATCCCTCCTTTCTCTACTCCGAAGGAAGACTCAAGGCAGCTTTACCTATGGCAACTATTTAATGCCTTTGAACAACAAACAGTTAAAATACATTAAGTTAAAGATTTTAAATTAAAATGAAATGCACATCAAAGGCATATAAAATATTAGGTAAAGGTAAATGTTTTCTCCTGACATTAAGTCTAGTCATATCCGACTCTGGGGATGCTCATCTCTATTTCTAAGCCGAAGAGCCGGCGTTGTCCATAGACACCTCCAAGGTCATGTGGCCAGCGCCGTTACCTTCCCACCAGAGTAGTACCTATTTATCTACTAACATTTGCAAGTTTTTGAACTGCTAGTTTGGCAGAAGCTGGGGCTAACAGCAGGAGCTCACCCCACTCCCCAGATTCGAACCTGCGACCTTTTGGTAAGCAAGTTCAGCAGCTCAGCAGTTTAACCCACTGCGCCACTGGGGGCTCCATATAAAACATTAAAATAACTATTACACATCATGCCATCCAGAATCATAATCCGGGGCCATTCCAAAAGTCATTGAACATAATTCCGTAGCTATTATTGCACTGTAGTTAATCTCCAAAGGCCTGACCCCAGAGCCAGAATTTCACTTTCCTTCTCAAGGCCAGGAGGGAGGAAGCTGTTCTGATATCACTGAGGAGGGAGTTCCACAGCTGAGGGGCAACCACGGAGAAGGCTCTGTCTCTCATTTCCACCAGCTGCACCTGCAAAGGAGGCAGGACTGACAGCAGGGCTTCCCCAGACAATCTTAATCTCTGAGGTTTAGGGCAACAACACCTGCTATCAATTGTATGGAGTTTTCTGCCCAAATATGGCTTTGTTTTACCTAAAAGAGATTTTTCTGTGTCCCATGCCAGTTGTCATAATCTTGGAACAGTGGCCTGTAACCATGCCTGGAGCTAGGCTGCTTCATGGCCTAAAACAGTGGTTCTCAACCTTTCTAATGCCGTGACCCCTAAATAAAGTTCCTCATGTTGTGGTGACCCCCAACCACATTTTCGTTGCTACTTCACAACAGTAATTTTGCTACTGTTATGAAATGTAATGTAAATGTCTGATATGAAGGATGTATTTTCATTGTTACAAATTGAACATAATTAAAGCATAGTGATTAATCACAAAAACAATATGTTTGGGGGAGTGTGGGCAACGGATGATGGGATCTGAAGTACCTTCAACTGATGCAGCTCTGACTTCCAGAGACCACTGAGACACCCCTCCCCCCCCCCCGAAATACAGGCTTGGACCAAACTTGGCATACAGAACCCTAATGACCAACAGCAAATACTGGAGGGGGTTGGGGGGAACTGATAGTGAATTATGGGAGAGGTAGTTCACCTACATCCAGACAGCACTGTGAACCCAAATTACTATGGATCTGGACAGAACTTGGCACAAATAGTATGCTCAAATCTGAAGACTGGTGGAGTTTGGGGAAAATAGACCTTGGCATTTGGGAGTTGTTGGGATGTATAGTTCCCCAGCCATCAAAGAGCATTCTGAAATTCAACCACAATTAAATTGGACCAAACTTGAGCTGTGTGGAAGGGGCCTGGGTTCTCTGAGGCCCCAAATAACCCAGGCCCCTTCCACACAGCTGAATGAAATCCCGCACTGGCATTTGGGTCCTCTTCCATACAGCTGCATAAAATACACACTGAAGTGGATTATCTGGCTGTATGGACACAGATAATCCAGTTCAAAGCAGATAATGTGGGATTTCATTCAGCTGTGTGGAAGGGGCCTGGGTTATTTGGGTCCCCTTCCATACAAATGCATAAAATACACACTGAAGTGGATAATCTGGCTGTGTGGACATAGATAATCCAGTTCAAAGCAGATAATGTGGGATTTCATTCATTTGGGGAAAATAGACCTTGGCATTTGGGAGTTGTTGGGATGTATAGTTCCCCAGCCATCAAAGAGCATTCTGAAATTCAACCACAATTAAATTGGACCAAACTTGAGCTGTGTGGAAGGGGCCTGGGTTCTCTGAGGCCCCAAATAACCCAGGCCCCTTCCACACAGCTGAATGAAATCCCGCACTGGCATTTGGGTCCTCTTCCATACAGCTGCATAAAATACACACTGAAGTGGATTATCTGGCTGTATGGACACAGATAATCCAGTTCAAAGCAGATAATGTGGGATTTCATTCAGCTGTGTGGAAGAGGCCTGGGTTAGTTGGGGCCCCTTCCATACAGCTGCATAAAATACACACTGAAGTGGATTATCTGGCTGTGTGGACACAGATAATCCAGTTCAAAGCAGACAATGTGGGATTTCATTCATCTGTGTGGATGGGGACTGGGTTATCTAGGGCCCCTTCCATACAGCTGCATAAAATACACACTGAAGTGGATTATCTGGCTGTGTGGACACAGATAATCCAGTTCAAAGCAGACAATGTGGGATTTCATTCAGCTGTGTGGAAGGGGACTGGGTTATCTAGGGCCCCTTCCATACAGCTGCATAAAATACACACTGAAGTGGATTATCTGGCTGTGTGGACACAGATAATCCAGTTCAAAGCAGATAATGTGGGATTTCATTCATCTGTGTGGAAGAGGCCTAGGTTAGTTGGGGGCCCTTCCATACAGCTGCATAAAATACACACTGAAGTGGATTATCTGGCTGTGTGGACACAGATAATCCAGTTCAAAGCAGATAATGTGGGATTTCTTTCATCTGTGTGGAAGAGGCCTAGGTTAGTTGGGGCCCCTTCCATACAGCTGCATAAAATACACACTGAAGTGGATTATCTGGCTGTGTGGACACAGATAATCCAGTTCAAAGCAGATAATGTGGGATTTCTTTCATCTGTGTGGAAGAGGCCTAGGTTAGTTGGGTCCCCTTCCATACAGCTGCATAAAATACACACTGAAGTGGATTATCTGGCTGTGTGGACACAGATAATCCAGTTCAAAGCAGATAATGTGGGATTTCATTCATCTGTGTGGAAGAGGCCTGGGTTAGTTGGGTCCCCTTCAATACAGCTGCATAAAATACACATTGAAGTGGATTGTCTGGCTGTGGGGACACAGATAATCCAGTTCAAAGCAGATAATGTGGGATTTCATTCATCTGTGTGGAAGGGGCCTGGGTTATTTGGGTCCCATTCCATACAACTGCATAAAATACACACTGAAGTGGATTATCTGGCTGTGTGGACATAGATAATCCAGTTCAAAGCAGATAATGTGGGATTTCATTCAGCTGTGTGGAAGGGGCCTGGGTTAGTTGGGTCCCCTTCAATACAGCTGCATAAAATACACATTGAAGTGGATTGTCTGGCTGTGTGGACACAGATAATCCAGTTCAAAGCAGATAATGTGGGATTTCATTCAGCTGTGTGGAAGGGGCTGGGTTATTTGGGTCCCCTTCCATACAGCTGCATAAAATACACACTGAAGTGGATTATCTGGCTGTGTGGACATAGATAATCCAGTTCAAAGCAGATAATGTGGGATTTCATTCAGCTGTGTGGAAGGGGCCTGGGTTAGTTGGGTCCCCTTCAATACTGCTGCATAAAATACATATTGAAGTGGATTATCTGGCTGTGTGGACACAGATAATCCAGTTCAAAGCAGATAATGTGGGATTTCATTCAGCTGTGTGGAAGGGGCCTGGGTTATTTGGGTCCCCTTCCATACAGCTGCATAAAATACACACTGAAGTGGATTATCTGGCTGTGTGGACATAGATAATCCAGTTCAAAGCAGATAATGTGGGATTTCATTCAGCTGTGTGGAAGGGGCCTGGGTTATTTGGGTCCCCTTCCATACAGCTGCATAAAATACACATTGAAGTGGATTATCTGGCTGTGTGGGCTCCTCCTTCCCCAACAGCTAAGACGTTTCTTACCCAGGGAGCAACCAGCTGGTCCACTCACTAACCTTGCAGCAACAACAACAGGCAGAGCCTTCGAGCCAGGGAGGGGGGAGGTGGGGCAAGGCAGCAGGACCCTTTTCCTCTTCCTCCAGTTGCCCATCGAGGAGGACGAGGAGAAGGGACACTGCTGCAGTTTCTCCGCTTCTTCCTCTTCCATGGCCAGTTGGAGGAGAAGAAACAGCAGCAGAGCCCCTTCTCCTCTTTTTCCTTCTCTTTCTCCTTGATGGCCAGCTGGAGGAGGAGGAGCAAGAAGAGGAAAAACAGCCGCAGCAGCCCCTGTGCGGCCTCCGCGGTTTCTCCTCTTCTTCCTCCTCTTCTTCATGGGGGAACTGACCTTTGTTTTGGTGAGTTGTAGTTCACCCACACCAGAGAAATTGACCTCCCCCATGATGGTCCTGGGTCAAACTTGGGCAGCAAGAGCCAGCCCATATGGGGAGCCTTCCACTCGACCCCCACCCCTTCTAAGCTCACGGGGAGGGGAGGGCCCAAGAAGGTCTCCAAAAATAGTGTACCTTCTCCCTTGCGCGCCTTTGCCTCTAAGCTCCTCCTCTTGACTCCATGCAGCCTTGTGGGAAGAGGAGGAGGAGCCGACCTCGAGTGCCTGCATGTTTGGCTGGCACAGGGGCCGGCAGCCATTTTGGAGGGGGCGGGGCTAACCGAGGTGCCTTCGCGACCCCCCAAAAATGACCCAGCGACCCCCCTGGGGGTCGCGACCCCCAGGTTGAGAACCGCTGGCCTAAAAGGATTGATTTCTTGGAAATATATTTTGTACACAGGCACCAACCATGCACCCATTGTGGCATTTTTGATCTCTTCCTCATCTGTCTCTTTGCTCCTACTTAATGGTTTTTTAAACATATATTTTAGATTATATATTCATATATATAATCCAAAACAATGCTACTCTTAAAACAAATATATTGTTGAACAAAATTGTGTATTTTGTTTCAGATTTCAAAAAGGCACACAACCGATGCCTTTTGTCTTTCCCTAAGAAAAATAGTTTCCAGCCCAAAGCAGTTCTGACGTAACTCCGTTATCACCCCATGTTAGCTTTTCATTGTGTGGGAGTGTCCTAATGTGATGCCTGCAGAGAATAGCAAACATAATAACAACAGAGTTATAAACCCTGATGGATTGGTAACCTTGGCAAGCAGTGGTTTCTGTGAACCAGGAACCAGGAAGAAGTGAGTGTTTGTCCTGGGAGGAGCCAGCATGCAGTCCCACAGCACCATCCTGCTTTGAATGAGTTGCTACTAAAATGCTTTTAAAAAACTGATACATTTTACAGGCATCTGATCAAATAATTGTATTAAGCAGCATAACGTTAAAGTTGCATTGTCCTTACACTGTGAGATTTCTTTTGTTTCAGGCAAGCAAGCAGAGAATCTTCAGAATAACAGGTTTGAATGCACAGTTTCCTTTTTACCTCCAATAGTGCTGAACTTTGAATTTCCAGCAGATTACCCGTCAGCTTCCCCACCTGCATTCACCCTCAGCAGTGAGTGGCTTTCCCAAGAACAGGTTGGTACAGATCTTTCATGCTTCATGGCGTTCACCAGAATGGTTTTAAGAAAAAGGTGGGAGGAAAGGATTAATGGGCTAGTTGACTGTCCTCTAGAGGCAGCAAGTGAAGCTTCATGATGTCTTATGTCAAATTATGTTTCTTTTACACCATTTTAATTGGAGCCGCTGGTGGCGCAATGGGTTAAACCCTTGTGCCAGCAGGACTGCTGACCAATAGGTTAGTGGTTCGAATCCGGGGAGAAAGGGTTGAGTTCCCTCTCTCAGCTCCAGCTTCCCATGTGGGGACATGGAAGAGGCTTCCCACAAGGATGGTAAAAAACATCAAAACATCTGGGCATGCCCTGGGCAACATCCTTGCAGATGGCCAATTTTCTCATGCCAGAAGTGACTTGCAGTTTCTCCTGACATGAGGGAAAACCCCATTTTAATTGTTCTAAAGGCTACACAGTTTTAACACTTCAATTAATTTCAGCATGGCTGGCATTAGTTTTTTTTTTAAAGTCTTATCAGAAAATATTTTTCATTTGTTGTCTGCCCATAGCTGGGATGCTAATGTTATAATTGTGCTCCTTCAAGTTGACTGTGACGTATGATCCTACCATAAAGTTTTCTTGGCAGGATTTAATCAGATTGAGTTCACTGTTGCCTTCCCTCTGGATAAGGGAGTGTGACTTGCCCAGGATGAGCCAGCAAGTTTTTCATTGCCACGTGGCAGTTTGAACCCTGGTTTCCTGGACTCTTTAGTCCAAGAGTCTAAACACTACTCTATTACTACTTTGGTAGGTGTAAATGAAAGCATTAAACCCAGAGGCCATCTTTCTTCTGCCACAAATGCCCCCTTCCCTGAGAGAGAGAGGGGGAGGCAAGAGGTCAATTTATGCTTTTGGAACACAGGTATTATTTGTATTTAAACATTGCTTCCAGAAGAAGCAGTTCTCCCTTTCTGATTAAGAGACTAGTGGTCTTGGGGAGTGGAGTTGGAGAAAAAGTCTAAAAATGGTTCTGAGAAGACCACAGACATGAAGTATAAATATGTGAGGGGAAGTCATAGGGAGGAGGGAGCAGGCTTGTTTTCTGCTGCCCTGCAGACTAGGATGCAGAACAATGGCTTCAAACTACAGGAAAGAAGATCCCACCTGAACATTAGGAAGAACTTCCTGACTGTGAGAGCTGTTCAGCAGTGGAACTCTCTGCCCTGGACTACAGTGGAGGCTCCTTCTTTGGGGGCTTTTAAGCAGAGGTTGGATAGCCATCTGTCGGGGTGCTCTGAATGCAACTTTCCTGCTTCTTGGCAGGGGATTGGACTGGATGGCCCACGAGGTCTCTTCTAACTATGATTTTATAAGTTCCAAGGCTGCTCTCTGCTCATTGTGATGCATATACACATATCCATGCAAGTATTGTATGAAGTAGGGTACTAAATACGAATATGAGCAAAACATTATTTGCTCACATAGAATGATGGTGTCTTGGAAGTGGCCTAATACAGGTGGAATAAGCAGCCAACTCCCTCTCACATGAAATGCTGTTTTTCTCCTCTAATGCTTCATCCAAATTCCCTTTAGTTTTCAAACAATTGCTCATCTTATTTTGTATTCTGTGCTATGTTGAAAGTATTATAGCTCCAAGCACCTTTCCTAGGCAATATATTTATTCAACACTGCCTTTTTTCTTTTGAGGGTAAATATTTGCTCTTAGGTTTAGGCTAAATGAGAGTAATTGTGCACTTAGCTGATAATTTACTTTGCACTACACAAGAGAAATAATAAATGTGCCCTGAATCAGAGCGTAAGAGTCTCTCTTCTTTCATTTCAGAAATGTATATTGTAGCAGCCTTGATGTGCTTGTGCCTCGGTCTTGAAATCTGACACTTTCTTAAAAAACACATAGTATTATTGGAAGGGAGGTGATGGTTTTATATTTATCTCTGTTTTCTAGCTCACTGAACTTTGCAAGCACTTAGACACCTTATGGGAAGAAAACAAAGGCTCTGTGGTTTTGTTTGCCTGGATACAGTTTCTCAAAGAAGAAACCCTTGCCTATCTGAATATTACCTCTGCTTTTGAACCAAGAATATGTGGACAAGAGCAAGAGCAAAGCAGGACAAACGACGAGGAAGTTTGCTATGGTGCAGCATGTGGTGCCATGGCACAGGAAGAAACCCCTAACAGAAGAGCCAGATTGATCAGAGAAATTCTAGATTTTGACCTTGCTCAACAAGAAAAACGCTTCAACAGTAAAATGCATACTTGCAATATATGCTTTTCGGACAAGTTGGGAAATGAATGTATGCTATTTCTGGACTGTAGGCATGTGTACTGCAAGGCGTGTGTAAAGGATTACTTTGAAATTCAAATCAAAGATGGGCAAGTCCATTGCCTGAACTGTCCAGAACCAAAATGCCATTCAGTTGCAACTCCAGGGCAGGTAAAAAAATTGATAAAATATATTAAAAGGTTGTAATAATAATCTCTGTGTTGTCAAAGGTTTTCATGGACAAAATCACTGGGTTGCTGTGAGTTTTCCGGGCTGTATGACCATGTTCCAGAAGCATTCTCTCCTGACATTTCGCCCACATCTATGGCAAGCATGTGGACAATTCCAACAGAAAGGAGGAAACCATGAAAATGAACAAAATCTGGCTACCAGCATTTAAAAAAACTCTAAAATCACGACAGTAAATAAAGAACAACACTAAAAAAAACAAACCAGGGGAATTCCAGACATGAATCAATCAGAGCCAGCTAACACCTCCCAACAAAGGATTATCCCAGGCAGGAAGCAGCCAGGCTTTGAAGCTACAAGGTCATTACATGCTAATCAATGTGACCAATTGCAACGTTCACACTTGCCTCAAGAGACAAGACTTCTTTCTCCCACCCTGGAAATTCTACAGATATATAAACCTCACTTGCCTAGTTTCCAACAAGTCTCACAACCTCTGAAGGTGCCTGCCATAGATATAAGAAAAGCATCAGAAGAGAATGCTTCTGGAACATGGTCATACAGCCTGAAAAACTCACAGCAACCCAATAATCTCTCTTTACACCAAGAAGCCCATGCAGCCTTTGTGGGATTCCTCATATTCAGAGAAGCAGAATTCACCAACCCATCATTTTATTGATTGCTTTTTCAGGTTAAAGGGCTGGTGGAAGAGCACCTTTTTGCCCGTTACGACCGCCTGCTGCTTCAATCCACCTTGGACTTGATGACAGACGTAGTATACTGCCCACGTCCAGGCTGCCAAACACCGGTGATGCAGGAGCCATCTTGTACTGTTGGCATTTGTTGCAATTGTGGTTATGCCTTCTGTACAGTCTGTAAGAAAACTTATCATGGTGTCCAGTCTTGCAAAATTGCTTCAGGTGAGTTGAATACAAGAGGAAACAACATGTACTTTGGGACTGCTAGGATGCAAAATGCTTTAATGGACCTACTTTTCCTTTTGATGTGGACATTTGGGATATTTTTAGTGAAATTATTTAAGGGTGAAGCTTATTGTCTGGCTGTCTGTTATTGTATTAGCTTCTCATCCTTTCTGTTGGTATTTTTGTGCCTCTTCAGTCCAGTATGGGAAGATGTACTGCCTATGAAGTACAGGGAGAGAACAGTTTGGTGGCAGAAAAGTAACATCAACAGCTCTGATGTTCTGTTATAAATTTTTAAAAAAAAAAACAAAACTATAAAACTGGTTGTAGCATAATCATGTAACTAATTATCTGAATTAATAATCTCATAGTATAAATTGTGCAAGATTTTGATCAAATAACACTTCTTCATGGCTTGTATTAACTGCTCTCTCTAGGTTGAGTATGCAAAACTAAGCCACAAGAGCATTTGTTTTGTCCACTTCATCACACTAGAGAGAAAAAATCCACTTAAAATCAAGTTTCTGCCTCCTGCTGAATTCTGGGGTTTGTAGTTTAGTGAGGCTGTTAAAGGCTCTTCCCTAAACTGCAAACCCCAGAATTGTGCAGGAGGCAAAAACTGGATTTTAAGTGGATTTTTCTCTAGTGTGACGAGGCAAAACTTGTTAAGCGCACTACATGTTTTGCAAGTTGCTTATGTTACATTCTTTCTCTTAGGGAAGTTTGCCGCATTTTTGAAGGAGTATCTTGCAGCAGATGAAACCACTAAAAGGTTTTTAGAGAAACATTATGGGAAAAGACTACTCCGATCGGCTGTAGAGGAAATAGAAAGTAAGGAATGGTTGAAAAACTATTCAAAATCGTGTCCTTCTTGCAGAGCTCCTATAGAGGTGAGATTGTGGCAGAGAATGGGGACTTGGGGGAAACCACAATATATTTGTTCTGAAAATTGTCAGATACCAATCCCACTCATTGTGGGATAACTTGGGGCTTTGGAGTGCCCTTCCACAGTCCCAATTAAGTAAAAAGCTCAGTTTGTCAGACCTTTCCAGAAAATAATCTTACTAATTCCAGACTGGGATTCTTCCTATCAAATCCTCTTTTGCAGTTCTAAAGGGAATGGAAAGTAAAATGAGGAAAGTGGGGTAGAAATGTCTTTAAAAATAATCTATATAAATAAAAATGTAATGTTCGTTTGTGGGATTAACGTAACTCAAAAACCACTGGACTAATTGGCACGAAATTTGGACACAACACCCCTAACAGATCAAGAAGTGACCATCACTCATAAACCCCTCCCCGAAAAACAGCAGAAAGTACTTAAAACCCCCAATAAGCTAAATGACAATACAGTGCATATGCGAAACCGACATCTCCCAACATCCCCTAAACCAGGCCTTTTAGGGGAGGAGGATGCTTCAAATGCACTGCTCCCAAGCTGCAAGCTTGCTTCTCCTTGGATTTATCCGAGAGCATCCCAATCCGTACATATTTTCTATTTCCTATTCCTGGACTGCAACTCCCAGCAATCCTCCAGACAGAGAAGACATATAGATTAGATAGAGATAGATAGATAGTAGGTAGACAGATTAATCAGGAGGACAACTGGGAGTTACAGTCCGAGAATGGGTAGAGAAGGAAGAAAGGGGAGAAAGAAAAAGGGAAGGGAAGGAAGGAAAGAGGTAGAGAAGGGAGGGAGGGAGGGAGGAGAGAAGGAAAGGAAAAAAGGGAAGGAAAGAAAGAAAAGAGAGAAAGAGGGAGGTAAGATTGGCCACAGCAACACGTGGTGAGTACAGCTAGTTCTCTTCATAAAAATGCTTTTATAAGCATGAGACAATCTCTGGCTTTTGTGACTCATGAATTCTGTGACTCATTGGCCACTCCGAGTCCCCTTAGGGGTTAGAAGGGTGTGGTATAAATACTGTAAATAAATAAATGCAATTGAGCTGCTGTCAGGAAGTAGAGCATGATTGAGAATACAAGATGGGAAAGTCATAATGTGTAAGGGTTTTCTTTTGATACTGAAGTGTGAAGCTTCAGTATCACACTTCACCTATAGATAGCTTCTTAGATATTTCACCTATAGGTGATGCTTCATATTTTATCTTCTTTACACCCTGTTCAGCAATGAGACAGGACAGCCACTGTGAGGACTGTCGTATACACTTATATTTGTGTACAAGTTGACCTCATATATATAAACTGAGTGCAGAGCTCCCAATGGCGCAATGGGTTAAACCCTTTTGCCGGCAAGGACTGCTGACCTAAAGCAGCGAATCCAAGGAGCTCCCATCTGTCAGTTCCAGCTTCCCATATGGGGACATGAGAGAAGCATCCCACAGGATGGTAAAACATCCAGGCGTCCTTGGGCAACATCTCTGCAGACAGCCAATTATCTCACACCAGAAGTGACTTACAGTTCCTCAAGTCACTCCTGACATGGAAAAAAAAAGCTGAGTGCAGGTTTGGGGACTAAATTATGGATGTTGATATCATCTGTGGATAAGTCAAGGGTCATTCTGTAGAGAAGGGAAAGTGGCATCACCATCTCATAAGGCCAACAATTCCTGCCTTTTTAAAAAAAATGGAAGTAAAGTTACAATATTAACTATCAAATTATCTTCTTTGAGCTGAGGGGTGACAGACAAGACAACCTAAAAGACAACCTAAAAGAAGCACACTACATTGCATCTGAAAACGTTGATACAATTCCACAAAAATACTAGTAACTTCTTTCTCACAGTTGGTGTCAAAGATGCCACAAGAATATTTTGCATATTAGCATGCTACAATTCACATTTGAATGGATACAAAAGTTAAAAACACACACCATATAACACAGATACGGTGCTCCATGCTGTCATGCTGGCCACATGACCTTGGAGGTGTCTATGGACAATGCCAGCTTTTCAGCTTAGAAATGGAGATGAGCGCCACCCCCTTGAGTCAGACTTGACTTAATGTCAAGGGAAGCCTTTCCCTTTCCCTTTAACACAGATATACACAACAGTAAAACATATATTGCATTGTATAACATTATATATGGTACTGCACAGTATGTATGTGTGTATGCTGTTGTTGTTCTTGTGTGCCTTCTAGTATTTTCCAACTTATGGCACACTAATGCTTTTCCGCAAAGTTTTCTTGGTAAGATTTGCTTTCCTTTGAAGCTTATCCAAGGATATCCAGTATGTTTCTATGGCCATACAGGGATTTGAACCTTGTTCTCCAGAATCCTAGTCCAACACTCAAACTGCTATATCCAGGTGGCTCGCATATATAAATTACATATATTCTATTCTTTATCCAAAACAATTATGCCCTATGTTTAAAGTGCTGTTGGCTAAAAGTTTTGGAGATGAACTGATTAAATAAGAAGCAGGGCAGAACGATTTTGACTTTTTTCATATTTACACTTGACTCATGAGGTTGAAAACAACGTTATCTATTATGCTTTATCCACCCTGAATATGCCAACTGCCACAGTATCTATGGGTAGCAAGAGAGAGCAAATGTCTATGAGGCTTTAACTTCTCTCCTATACTACCTTGCAAACAAACCCTCCTAGGCAAGTTTGCCTCCAGAAACTGTTTAATTTAATGCCTTGTCTTATCTGTAAGAGCTTGATGTAAAGTGCTTCCTCCCTAATAGTCTGGGAGAGTGCCAAAGGCCACTGATGAATGAGTAGATTCCTTGTCCAATTAATGGAATGTGTTAGTACTTTAACCAGGAAACTAATGTTCAAAAGGTGGGGGAAAGAAGGGGGAGGCCTTATGGGATTTACTAAACTTCAAGAGTGATGCATAGCTTTTTTGTGGCATATGACTGAATTGATTCTTGAAGTTCTTTGTGTTTTCTTTTCTCCCACCACCAATTGTGACCATTATCAGAAGATAGACGGCTGCAATAGAATGACATGCACTTCGTGCAATAAGAACTTCTGCTGGCGTTGTATGACTCAGCTGTCCCAGGAAGACCCTTATCAGCACTTTAGTGATCCCAATTCCCCGTGCTTTAACAAGATGAGATAGGTAATTATTTAATACAGTAGTTACTGTATATTTAAACACTACTGAAAGACAAGCACCAGTTTAATTGCATCTTGGCATGGGTTCACATGAAATCTTGAAGACTTTCAGAGCAGGCTCTGTATCCGGCCTTTACAGACATGTGTCAATAAGACTTCTCTCTGTAAGAAGTCCTGATCCCATGCTCTCCCCATTACAGTTATTTTCAGTTATGATGTAAATCTATGTGAAAGTCATGCTATATTCAGACCCAGGCCTCACCAACATTGACCATTTAATGCAATTTCAAACCAATGTTGAAGAAAGTGGCTTCACTGGGTTTGTGAGTTTTATGGCCTGTATGGCCATGTTTCAGCAGCATTATCTGCTGATGTTTTGCCTGCATCTGTGGCAGTGGTTTCATTTTGCAGATGATTATATAGAAAATTCTGGAACCAGTTTGAGGCCTGGGTGGTGGTTACACACACTGATGCACATTACGGGGTTTCCTTTGCATGCTTTTGTGAAAGCCTGTAACCTGACCACTAGATTCAAACTACATTAAATGGGGCTTTGATTTGCTCACGTACGTATATGTGGTAATGTGGTGTGCAGAAGTGTATCCATACAGTATTTATTTCCTGCTGTGCTTATTATTTCCAACTCTTTCGTTTTAGGAGCTGATAACTATATGTATCAACAGACCAAAACCGAAGGTGGAACCTCCAAAAGAGGTCCAATAGAAGGCCAAGAGGATGCGGCCCTGGCACCTCAGGGGTTGAACCCAAGCATCAACAGAGAAGAAACTTCCTGAAATGGACATTGATTGAATTCCAGCTCTTGTTTGTATTTAGAAACTACAATAAAGCTTTAAGTTGTTGATTTTTATGTTCCAAATATAAATGGGAGCCACGTAAGAACTGCAGCTTTTCTCACATTATACTTTTTGGATGGAGCTGGTCATTCAGAAGCATCTCATCCCTTGGGTAGCAAACTCTTCTGTTTTATCATTACTGCCATTCTGCCATATAACTTTAGAAGCCCCCGGGTAGATTTATAAAATATAGAATCATAGAATCATAGAATCCTAGAGTTGGAAGAGACCTCATGGGCCATCCAGTCCAACCCCCTGCCAAGAAGCAGGAATATTGCATTCAAATCACCCCTGACAGATGGCCATCCAGCCTCTATTTAAAAGCTTCTAAAGAAGGAGCCTCCACCACACTTTGGGGCAGTGAGTTCCACTGCTGAACGGCTCCCACAGTCAGGAAGTTCTTCCTCATGTTTAGATGGAATCTCCTATCTTGTAGTTTGAAGCCATTGTTCCGCGTCCTAGTCTCCAAGTAAGCAGAAAACAAGCTTGTTCCCTCCTCCCTGTGGCTTCCTCTCACATATTTATACATGGCTATCATATCTCCCCTCAGCCTTCTCTTCTTCAGGCTAAACATGCCCAGCTCCTTAAGCCGCTCCTCATAGGGCTTGTTCTCTCTCATTTTAGTCGCCTTCCTTTGGACACATTCCAGCTTGTCAATATCTCTCTTGAGTTGTTGTGCCCAGAATTGGACACGATATTCCAAGTGTGGTCTAACCAAAGCAGAATAGAGGGGTAGCATTACTTCCCTAGATCTAGACACTATGCTCCTATTGATGCAGGCCAAAATCCCATTGGCTTTTTTTGCCGCCACATCACATTGTTGGCTCATGTTTAACTTGTTGTCCACGAGGACTCCAAGATCTTTTTCACACGTACTGCTCTCAAGCCAGGCATTGTCCCCCATTCTGTATCTTTGCATTTCGTTTTTCCTGCCAAAGTGGAGTATCTTGCATTTGTCACTGTTGAACTTCATTTTGTTAGTTTTGGCCCATCTCTCTAATCTGTCAAGTTGTAACATGGCCCTTCACTTCAATGCTATTCCTGCTGTGAATCCCATTTTAAAAGGAGGCGAAATGCAACCGAAAATAATTTTGTTCATTAAGAATGCCCCACTGAGCTGATATTGTGGGTTGTCGCAGTTGCATTACATCTATCCATTGACAGACAAATCCCAGAATTCTTTGACAGGCTGATTTTGCTGCACAAGAGCAATAATGGCATATTTTCTAGCAAGATTTTAATTTAATTTTACATTAATCCAGATTATCAAAGCAGATAATCCACATTATCTGCTTTGAACTGGGCAAACTTCAGCCCTCCAGATGTTTTGGACTTGAGCTCCCACCATTGCTAACAGCCTCAAGCCCCTTCCTTAAGCAGCTGAGGGGGGAAAGGAAAGGGCCCGAGGCTGTTAGGAATGGTGGGATTTGAAGTCCAAAGCACCTGGAGGGAAGGCCCAAGTTTGCCCACTCCTGCCTTAAGTGAGTAAACCCTGTTAGTTTTTGGGGTGATAGTATGATAGCTGGGTCTGGAAGCTCCAAGCGTTACGGAGATGCCGCAAAGGTGGCTGTGAATAAGGGAAGAGGGGGCGGAGTGAGAGTGGGGACAGCGAAGGAAGGATAGAAAGGAGGGGACGCTTAGGGTAAGGGTTAGGGCAAGGTTTAGGGTTTGGGTTAGGGGTTACGGTTAGGGTACAGTTTAGGGTGAGGGTTAGGGTAAGGTTTAGGGTTTGATTTAGGGTACGGTTTAGGGGTTATAGTTAGGGTAGGGTTAGGGTTAGGGTAAGGGGTTAGGATACAGTTTAGGATTAGGGTAAGGTTTAGGGTTTGGGTTAGGGTAAGGGGTTATAGTTAAGGTATGGTTTAGGGTTGGGGTAAGGTTTAGGGCTTGGTTAGCATAAGGGTTAGGGTTACAGTTAGGGTAAGGTTTAAGGTTTGGGTTTGTGTAAGGGTAGGGTTTCAACATTAAAATACTGGTGATAGTATGATAGCTGGGTCCGGAAGCGCTGAGCGTTACGGAGATGCCACAAAGGTCGTTGTGAATAAGAGCCGTCGCAAACTCTGTTCCTGCGGGAGCAAACCTTGCTAGCACGTCCCTGACGTCATGAGCCTGCGCCTCTCTCCCCACCCCTTTCTCCGCCCCTTTCTCTTTGCCAGCGTGGTTTTTCCTTTGCTAGGGCAGCATTGCCCGCATTTTCTCTCAGTTGAATTCTGCCAACTGAGAGAGTACGCTGGCAATGCTGCCCTGTTGTTGTTCATTCGTTCAGTCGTCTCCGACTCTTCGTGACCTCATGGACCAGCCCACGCCAGAGCTCCCTGTCGGCCGTTACCACCCCCAGCTCCCTCAAGGTCAGTCCAGTCACTTCAAGGATGCCATCCATCCATCTTGCCCTTGGTTGCCCCCTCTTCCTTTTTCCTTCCATTTCCCCAGCATAATTGTCTTCTCTAAGCTTTCCTTTCTTCTCATGATGTGGCCAAAGTACTTCATCTTTACCTCTAATATCCTTCCCTCCAATGAGCAGTCGGGCTTTATTTCCTGGAAGATGGACTGGTTGGATCTTCTCGCAGTCCAAGGCACTCTCAGAACTTTCCTCCAACACCACAGTTCAAAAGCATCGATCTTCCTTCGCTCAGCCTTCCCTAAGGTCCAGCTCTCACATCCGTAGGTTACTACAGGGAATACCATGGCTTTGACTAGGCGGATCTTTGTTGCCAGTCTGATGTCTCTACTCTTTACTATTTTATCGAGATTGGACATTGCTCTCCTCCCAAGAAGTAAGCGTCTTCTGATTTTCTGGCTACAGTCTGCATCTGCAGTAATCTTTGCACCTAGAAATACAAAGTCTGTCACGGCCTCCACGGTTTCTCCTTCTATTTTCCAGTTGTCAATCATTCTTGTTGCCATAATCTTGGTTTTTTTGACGTTTAGCTGCAACCCGGCTTTTGCGCTTTCTTCTTTCACCTTGATTAGAAGGCTCCTCAGCTCCTCCTCGCTTTTGGCCATCAGAGTGGTGTCATCTGCATATCTGAGGTTGTTAATGTTTCTTCCAGCAATTTTCACCCCAGCTTTGCATTCATCCAGCCCCGCACACCGCATGATGTGTTCTGCATACAAGTTAAAAAGGTTGGGTGAGAGGATGCAGCCTTGCCGTACGCCTTTCCCAATCTTGAACCAGTCTGTTGTTCCGTGGTCAGTTCTGACTGTTGCTACTTGGTCCTTGTACAGATTCCTCAGGAGAGAGACAAGGTGGCTTGGGATGCCCATCCCACTAAGAACTTGCCACAATTTATTATGATCCACACAGTCAAAAGGCTTTAGAATAGTCAATGAAGCAGAAGTAGATGTTTTTCTGAAACTCCCTGCCTTTCTCCATTATCCAGCGGATATTGGCAATTTGGTCTCTCGTTCCTCTACCTTTTCTAAACCCAGCTTGAACATCTGGCAACTCTCGCGCCATGTATTGCTGGAGTCTTCCTTGCAGGATCTTGAGCATTACCTTACTGGCATGAGAAATAAGGGCCACTGTACGGAAGTTTGAGCAGTCTTTCGCATTTCCCTTTTTTGGTATGGGGATATAAGTTGATTTTTTCCAGTCTGATGGCCATTCTTGTGTTTTCCATATTTGCTGGCAAATGGCATGCATCACCTTGACAGCATCATCTTTTAAGATTTTAAACAGTTCAGCTGGGATCCTGTCGTCTCCTGCTGCCTTGTTGTTAGCAATGCTTCTTAAGGCCCATTCAACCTCACTCCTCAGGATGTCTGGTTCTAATTCATTCACCACACCGTCAAAACTATCCTCAATATTATTATCCTTCCTATACAGATCTTCTGTATAGTCTCGCCACCTTCTCTTGATCTCTTCAGCTTCTGTTAGGTCCCTGCCATCTTTGTTTCTTATCATACCAATTTTTGCCTGAAATTACCTCCAATGTTTCTAATTTTCTGGAAGAGGTCTCTTGTCCTTCCTATTCTGTTGTCTTCTTCCACTTCCATGCATTGCTTATTTAAAAATAGTTCCTTATCTCTTCTGGCTAACCTCTGGAATTGCGCATTTAACTTGGCATATCTCCCCTTATCCCTGTTTCCTTTTGCTTTCCTCCTTTCTTGGGCTACTTCCAGTGTCTCAGCAGACAACCATTTTGCCTTCTTGGTTTTCTTTTTCTTTGGGACTTACTTTGTTGCCGCCTCCTGAACAATGTCTCGGACTTCTGTCCATAGTTCTTCTGGGACTCTGTTACTAAATCTAGTCCTTCAAATCTGTTCTTCACTTCCACTGTATATTCGCTAGGAATGTTAGTGAGATCATATCTAACTGTCTGTGTATTTTCCCTGATCTCTTTAGTTTTATTCTAAATTGGGCAATAAGAAGTTCGTGATCTGAGCTACAGTCAGCCCCAGGTCTTGTTTTCACCGACTGGATGGATGTCCGCCACCTTTGGCTGCAAAGGATGTAATCAATCTGATTTCGGTGTTGACCGTCTGGTGAGGTCCATGTGTAAAGCCGTCTTTTAGGTTGTTGGAAGAGAGTATTCGTTATACACAGCGAGTTTTCCTGGCAAAATTCTATCAGCCTACATCCTGCTTAATTTTGTTATCCCAGCTCATGCTTGCCTGTGATCCCAGTTGTCAGTTGACTACCCATGTTAGCATTCCAGTCTCCTGTAATGAAAATAATATATCTTTTTGGTGTATTATCAAGTAGGTGCTGCAAATCCTCAGATAACTGATCTACTTCTGCTTCTTCAGCAGCTGTGGTTTCCTGTTTGTATCACTGTAATGTTGAAAGGCTTTCCTTGCACTCGAATTGAGATCATTCTGTCATTTTTTGGGTTGTATCCAAGCACCGCTTTAGCGAATTTCTTATTAATTATGAAGGCTACTCCATTTCTTCGATGTTCCTCTTGTCCGCAGTAGTAGATCTGGTGGTCATCTGATGTGAAGTGGCCCATTCCAGTCCACTTCAGTTCGCTGACCCCCAGAATGTCTATTTAGTCTTGACATCTCGCCAATAACAACATCCAATTTGCCCTGGCTCATAGATCTTACATTCCAGGTTCCTATGGTGTGTTGATCTTTAGAGCATCGGATTCGTCGTTCACCTCCAGTACCGTCGGCCGCTAGCCTTCCTTTCGGCTTTGAGCTAGCTGCGTCATCACATCTGGGGCTAGTTGAACTTATCCTCTGCTCCTCCCCAGTAGCATTTTGGCCATCTTCCGACCTGGGAGTCCCATCTTCCAATGGCATACCGACATATCTCTGGTTGTACTGGTCCATTTAGTTTTCTTGGCAAGGATACTGGAGGGGTTTGCCATTGCCTTCCCCAGGGATCACGCTTGGTCTGACCTCTCTGCCACAACCGTCCCGTCTTGGGTGGCCCTTCACGGTTTCGCTCATGACATCATTGAGGTGCTCAAGCTCCAGCGCCCCGACAAGGCGGTGATCCTTTGCTGGAGTGATCTGCCCTAGCTGCCCTAGCAAAGGAAAAACCACTCTCGCAAGGAGAAAGAGGCGGAGAAAGGGGCGGGGCGAGAGGCGGAGTCTCATGACGTCAGGGACATGCTAGCAAGGTTTGCTCCCGCAGGAACAGAGTTTGCGACGGGTCTAAGGGAAGAGAGGGGGCGGAGTGAGAGCGGGAAAGCGAAGGAAGGATAGAAAGGAAGGGACGCTTAGGGTAAGGGTTAGGGCAAGGTTTAGGGTTTGGGTTAGGGGTTAAGTTTAGGCTTACAGTACAGTTCAGGGTTAGGGTAAGGGTGAGAGTTTCCCCATTCAAGAACTCTTCCTTTCCTTGTATGTTCTCTCTGTCTCCGGCCTGGCTTCCATTAGCGAAGTCTCTCTTGGGCAAACGGCGCTCCCGAAGGAACGATGCGGCACCTCCGTAAAGCTCGGAGCTTCCGGACCCAGCTATCCTATTATTCCCGTTTTGGGCCCCTGCTTAAAGGCGCCTCCACCCGGTGTCCCGAACGCCCCTTGACCCGCCTTGGCCGAGTGCGAGGGAATGACGGGAGTGGTAGTTTGACCCCGTCCTGAGCTTGCTCAAACTACAAATCCCGGGCTTCCCCAGCCTGGAGCCCTGGCAGACCCAGGGGTGCCACACGGCATGACTCCTGCAGTGTAGACCCGCCCCCAGGCAGCCAGGGCACCCGGGGAAGTCCCAGCCCAGGATCTTCTCTCTCTCTCTCTCGGCTCTTTCCGCCTGACGCCGCCGCAGTCCCCGCCTTTCGGTTCAAACCCTTCCGAGGCCGAGGAAGGAGCCGAGGGGAGGAGGAAGCCCAGCCCGAGCGGCGGCCCAAGGCAAGTGGGGGGGGGGGGGGGGGGGGGGGGGGAGAGTCCGGCACACGGCTTCCCAAAAGGAGGCTGTGTTGGCGGGAGTGAGGCGGCAGGCCGGGCAAGGGATCGAGCCCCGGCTGGCTTCCTGGTAGGACAGGAGGGCTCTCCTCTCCTCTCCTCTCCTCCCCGGGCAGCAGGGCACAGCCCCGAGGCGAAGGGGAAGCCTGGTGGGCGGGGCGGGGCCAGGACCAGGCTTGCAAGCACGCGTGGGCTCGGGGGACAGGCACGCAAGGGGCGATTGTGCTGCGCCCCGCACGTAAGGAGGGCCTGGCACGGCTCTGCCTTGCCCACCTTTGCCCATTGAGGACATTTGGCTTCCCTCCGGGGCTGAGAGAGCGTGGCTTGCCCAAGGGCCCCATGGGCACTTCCGGGGCAGAGTCCAGGGCTCAAATCACAATGCCAGGCTCAGTAGCCGGGACCTGGCATTCTGTGGAAGCTAAGCAGAAGGAAACCCTTCCAGCAAAGGAGAGAGGGAGGGAGGAGAAGTTATTGTATTTGTTTCGCGTCAGAAGCATTGCAGACCTCGTTTATCTAAAACTGATAAAATAAAGGGCTCACAAACTGCTCGATAGTTTTAAACCAAACAGCGACCACATTGCCTGTAGCTTGAAACCATTCTTCCTCTGTGCATGAGGCAGGGCATTGTGGGCAAGCATACAGGTGCGGAGCTCTTTGTCCTGCTCCTCTGTCGCACAAGGCATAGGCAAACTTTGGCCCTCCAGGGGTTTTGGACTTCAACTCCCACCATTCCTGACACCTGAAGGAACAAAGTTTGCCCATGCCTGTTACAACCCTTGGCCTTTGGCTTACTAGTCACTGTTGGTGTCCAACAAGGGTTCCAGTCTTCCTCCAACATTACTCTTACTATCCTACTGTTACTACTATAGGCAACTACAGGTACTTGTTTGCCTTCCAAGAGGAGTCTATAAGTGATGGTAGAGACCTATTCTGCATCTGCATGGTCTTTCACAGTGAGGTCATAGGTTTCCAGATGGAAGGTAGCCCAGACACGGGTTGGCTTGGCACACCTTCCCCTTAGCACGTTTCTCCCTTTCTCCCTCTATTTGTGCCACCCCAGAGTCCATAGCACTGATGTGATCAGTCCAGCGAAGTTAATAGCAGAGAGCCCTAACTTCAATGCTAGTGGCCTTTGCCTGTCTTCCCTCCAACATTACAGAGTGGTTGGCCTGCTGATTCCAGGGATATTTTCATAATTTACAGCACTCAGGATGTCTTCTGGGGACAGAGATGCACAGGAGGACGAACTCCTTGCTCTGGCGAGTATTTATGAGGAAGATGAATTCAAGAGAGCTCCGTCAGGGTGGGGAGGAGAGATCCAAGTTTTAGTAGACCTGCCTGAGGACTTCACACTGTTGTGGCGTGGTGAGTATCCTTTGGGATGACCCTTCTTCCCCATGTGTTTCACTCCTGGCTCTTGTCCTCATTGGCCTCCCCACTTCTTCCAGAGGAGGGGTCTGCTTCTGTTCTCATGGGCCCCCAATCAGAGTTGGAAAAAGATAGCTGTCACTACCTAGGATTGGATCATGTGAATGGGATGTAGTAGTGAATAATAGCATATAGCTTTTATATAGCTTGTAGGAATTACAAGTGTGATATATGGAGCATTACAAGAACCTGTAGTTATTTGTGAATTATGTAAAGTCCAGTTGCTCAAAATGCCATTGCCATATTTCTTCAGCTTCAAGATGGGCTCTACTGGTCTGTGCTGGTCTATACTGGGCCTGTAACCCCTGTTGGGTGAATGGGCTTATTAAAAAAATACTCTTCTCATAAATGCACAGCAGAGTAAATTATTATCAGCAGTGTGACCCAGCACCAGTCCCCCCCCCCCAAAAAAGAACAAAAACACACAGACCAGTCTTATCTCATCCATAGGATGCTTTTCTTTATAGCAAAATAAAATGGTTGCACTATTTACAAAAAACAAGGTTTCCATAACACAAATAAAGTTCAGCCTTCACACTGGAGCTTCACACACAAGGTTTTATCGTCCCAAGGCCTACCTCACACTGAGGCCTTTCTCCCACTGAGATGTCTCTCATACTGAGGCTCTTTCAGACTGAGAGGTACTAACACTGAGACCTATATCATACAGTGGCAGACTAACACTGAACCTTCTCATACTGAGACCTCTCTCACACAGAAGGTTACCTCAGACGGAGGTCTACTAACACACTGAGTCCTCCCTTAGACTGAGGGCTACTTAGCTACAGGCACACCTGCTTATATTGAACTGCAGCTTTTGCTGAGTCATTTCATCCATTTAACCCTTTTAGTGCTTGACTCACATTTTTGTAATTAAAATGCCTAGTTAATTTTTAATATTTCTGACACTTCATATATTTGATGAAGAAAAGACTTTCATGTGTTCATCAAAAGCTTTTAGAGTTTATAAAATAATAAAGATAACAGGTGTTTATAGCATGAAGGGACTAAAGGGCTTTGGCATACATTACAAATTGTAATATGTTTGCAGACAAGAAGTACAATGAGTACTGTAAATAGTAAATAAAATTGTAGCGCAACAACTTTTATTGCCAATTGTGTAGAGTTTCTTGCCTTAACATGGCTTGGTGTGAGATAAAAAAGGCAAAATTCTTCTGCCAGGTAATATCATGTGGAATTTAACAGAAATTATGAAGCAGCTACCATGAGGAGAAATTCTATATTGTGGCTCTTATTTTTACAATCCCATTATGGTCTCTTTCCACTTACCTCTCCGAACGCATCTCCACCTATGAACCGGCGAGGTTGTTAAGATCGTCTGGGGAGGCCCTGCTCTCGGTCCCGCCAGCGTCACAGGTGCGGCTGGCGGGAACGAGGGATAGGGCCTTCTCAGTGGTGGCCCCCCGACTATGGAATGCCCTACCAGCGGACATCAGGCAGGCCCCTTCGCTATTGGCGTTTAGGAGAAGGGTTAAGACGTGGCTCTTCGAACAGGCGTTCGGATAAGTATGCAATAACAACTGACTCAGGAATGACGGCACATTGAACAAGGAATGGTAATACGACTGTGAGATTGAGATCTGATTCTAACTAGGCGTGATGATTTTTATGTGTATTGTTTGTGTATGTCTGTCATATAGATTGTTTAGTGTTGCACATTTTATTGTAAACCGCTTCGAGTCGCCTTTGTAGGCTGATATTTGCGGTATACAAAAGAAGTAAATAAATAATAAATAAATAAATAAATTCATCAGCCATGAAGAAGACCATCTTGGGATATCAAGACTAACTCTTGTATGCTGGTCCCACTAAAGTTGGTACTTCCATGGTCCCAGTGGCAGAGTAATCTAGGTTAGGGGGATTTGGCACAGTTGGAGGAAGGAGATTCCTCCATCCAGAGCTGAAGTACAAATCAAGGCAAATGGTCAGTTGGTCCTAGGAACATGACAGCGTGACTTCTGAAGCAGAGAGTAACATCAGCACGTGCCCCCAGTAGTGGCTGGACAAACTCTCCATCTGGGTTCCTGTGATTGGATTTGAATGGCTATAGCCTGGAAGACTATGACATTGTCTGACTTCCATATAACTTCCATATCTACCTTTCTCTGTCATCCCTTCCCATTATGATCCGCTCTGATGGAGCTGAATCATAAGGCCAACTAACAAGAAGCTCCCCCTTCTCTTCAGATGCATGACTCTACCATTTCTCCCTCTGTATTCAGACTTTTTCACCTGAAGCATCATTACTGCTTCTATCATTATTTAAAGGTGTGAAAACCAGCTGTGTTGATGTGGCAGTCATACTGTATAGAGATTTAAGAGCCCAATTAAAAGATTGGTGGATGCTGGATTTCACTGTCTCTTCAGTCATAAGGAGTAAAGGAAGAGTGCTCTTTGGAAATATTGCTTTGAGGAGCCCTCCAGAGGTTCAGTTTACCATTCACTTTCATTGTGTGAGCATTTTGAGTAAGAGGATGACCTGGACTCAGGAACATCCTCTTCAGCCAGAGTTTTTCAAGCTGATGGCCTTGTATTTTACTTCACAAGGCCATCAAGATATTGGAATTACCTGCCTCCCATGTTGAGCATCAGCCAGAAGGTCCCAATGTACAACAGGGAAAGGGTGATGATTTCTTTCTTAGGTTAATTCTCCCACCTTAGACATTCATTTCCATGCAGTCTTCATGAAAGTGATCAAGGAGGAATGGTCTAACCCTGCCACAGTGCATTCAAATTCCATTGCTGTTAACAACAACAACAACAACAACAACAATATAGTTTGTGTTGATGAAGGATTTCATGGCTGGAATCAGTGGGTTGCTGTGAGTTTTCTGGGCTGTTTGACCATGTTCCAGAAGCATTATCTCCTGACATTTCACCAACATCTATGGCAGGCATCCTCTGAAGTTGTATGATTTGTTGGTCAATTGCAACATTCACACTTGCCTCAAACAGACAAGAGTTTTCTCTCGCTCTGGACATCCCATAGATATATAAACCTCATTTGCCTAGTTTCCAACAGACATCAAAACCTCTGAGGATGCCTGCCATAGATGTGGGTGAGAGAATGTCAGGAGAGAATGCATCTGGAACATGGCCATACATCTTGGAAAACTCACAGCAAGCCAATATTGTAACTTACTCAAGTAAGTCATGTCAAAATAGCAAATCCCATTGGTGGATAGCCCTGCCTTGTCCCATATATGCCAGCGATGGAGAAGATAGTCTAAAAATCCTGAGGAGAAGAGAGCAGATTCAGTTCTTTAAAAAGCCTATGAGGCTTCATCTCTAACAATCAGAGTAGCCTTGGCAATCTCCATTTCTTCTAGGGCAGCCTTTGTGTGGACCAGAGGGCTCCTCAAGGAACTACCACAAGATAGCCTTACATTTACAGGACAAAAAAGAAGCAAGACATGGAATATTTTGTCTAGTTCTGGGTACCACAATTCAAGAAAGATCTAGATGTAATGGATATAAAAGTATTAATGGAGCAAGAATTCTATCTCTGCTCTTGGCATACAGTAGTTGAACAAAAATATAAGAGAAAAGATGACCAGTGTCTTGGCTAACTGCTATGACACAAATGTTTAAACAGATGAGCCATTTCACAGACATCCTATCAAATAATTCCATTAAGCAGCATAACTTTAAAGATACACCACATTTATTTTGTTTCAGATGACCAGGCAGAGAATCTTCAGAACAACAAGTTTGAATGTACGGTTTCCTTTTTACCTCCAATTGTGCTGAATTTTGAATTTCCAGCAGATTACCCTTCCATCTCCCCACCTGCATTTACCCTCAGCAACAAATGGCTTTCCCAAGAACAGGTTTGGTACAGAGCCTTTATTATGTTTGTCATTCATTAGAATAGTTTTTAGGAAAAGGGGGGACGGGTTGGTTGATTATAATCAGGGTACAGCAAATGAAAGATGACAAACTGCTAAAAATATCAAAGACACCGCTCAGGGGCTTTTAGCTATCATTTGTTGTTGTTCACTGCCGTCAGCTCAACTTTGACTTATGCCGACTCTATGAATGAGAAACCTCTTAAGTCATGCTATCATCCCAAGCTCCCATTGAGTCTATCCAACATATCCTAACCCAGTGGTTCAAAACCTGTGGGTCCCCAGGTGTTTTGGCCTTCAACTCCCAGAAATCCTAACAACTGGTAAACTGACTGGGATTTCTGGAAGTTTTAGGCCAAAAACATCTGGGGACCCATAGACTGAGAACGACTGCCTAAATCAAATGACATGATTTAAAATAATTTTAAGTGTTCTAAAAGCTACAACCAGTCTTTAACATCCAATAACGGTAATTCCAGCATGACTGGTATTGTCTATCTTTTAAAAAAAGCTTTCACCAGATATTATTTTTTATTTGTTGTCTGCACATAGATTGGTGGCTGTTGTGGTGATGACATACCTTCAAGTTCACTCTGACTTGCAGAGCTTTAAACGTAGAGTTTTCTTGGCAAGATTTTTTAAAGGGGGCTTTACAATTGCCTTTCTCTCTGAATGAGGGAGCATGACATGTCCAAAAAGAAAATATAGTAACAAGAAGTCCATGTCTGCTTTTGAAATACAGCGGGGTGGGGTGGGCATTTAAAAATGGCTTGTAGAAGAGGCAGTTCTTCATTTTTGGTCAAGAAAAAAGTGACTTGAGGTGTTTGGAAGTGTAAAGGGCCTGAAAAGCAGTTCAGGGCTGCCATTTGCCTCCACAGTTGTTGTTGTCTCCTAGAATAGCAGCATTTTTAAACTAGGGTAAATTGTTACCAAAATTGTTACTAGATGATTTAAAGTAGGATACAATTTGAAGAACGATTAATTCCCCTTTGTGATCCATTTTCCTATTATAAATAAACTATTGTCCTTTTCTATATACAACTACTACTATTACTACTACTGCTGCTACTACTAATAATAATATATCTCATTTGCTGTGCCATACTGTGTTTTTGTGTCAATAATAATAATAATAATAATAATAATAATGACTTTATTCTTATATCCCGCCACCATCTCCCCGAAGGGACTCGGGGCAGCTTACAGATGGCACAAAGTACCTAAAAACAAACATAAAAGCTACAGTCCTATGTTCTGTACAGTTGTGACAACTGCTCCCAAGTCCCACAATCTCCCTTTCCCTTTTTAAAAACAACACTTTAAAGCCCTCAGCTTAAAAACGAACCTATTTCGATAGGTTAATAGCGAAAAGCAGGCAATTTTCCCAAAGCTCTGTGGCTGGCCCTTGCCCTTATGGCACTCCCAAAGTGGAATCACCTACCTTTGTTTTAACCTCACCCCACAGGAGTCCTTGCTATACCTGCCAGCCCAGATAAATGACAGAAACAGTTAGGAGATCTGCTGAAAGCTGCTTGTTTGGGTCTCAGTCCTTGCAAAAAGGCACTTCCAATTTTTTTTTCATGTCAGGAGCGACTTGAGAAACTGCAAGTCGCTTCTGGTGTGAGAGAATTGGCTGTCTGCAAGGACGTTGCCCAGGGGATGCTTGGATGCTTGATGTTTTACCACCCTTGTGGGAGGCTTCTTTCATGTGCCTGTATGGTGCTGGAGCTGAGAGAGGGAGCTCAACCCACTCTCCCTGGATTTGAACTGCTGAGCTGTCGGTCAGCAGTCCTACCGGCACAAAGGTTTTAACCCATTGTGCCACCAGGGGCTTCCAAGTAATCCCACAGTAAGAAAGTGCTATAGTGAAGGAAGAGGTGACAGATGGAGTAAACAGCATGCTGATGTCTCCCTTTTAGTTCCACATGAATTTTCTAATGTTGCAGCCAAATTCCCTTTCTTTTTCAAACTATTTTCAAATTGCTAACTTTATTTTGTATTCTGTGTTTAGTGAAAGCATTATATTGTAATTCCAAGAACATTTCCTAGAAGGAACACCGCTGAATTTTGCTTTTGAGAGTAAATGATTTAGATAGGAGTAATGCATCTAGATCAGGGGTCCTCAAACTTTTTAAACAGAGGGCCAGTCACAATCCCTCAAACTGTTGGAGGGCCAGATTATAATTTGAAATAAAATGAATGAATTCATATGCACACTGCACATATCTTATTTGTAGTCCAAAAAAAACACTTAAATTGTTCTTCATTTTAATTATTGTATTGTTTTTAACAAATATAAATTTATTAGTATTTCAATGGGAAATGTGGCTGATGAGATAGGATTGTTGTTGTTGTTGTCGTTGTGTGCTTTCAAGTTGTTTCAAACTTAGGTTGACCCTGAGCGAGGGCCGGGTAAATGACCTTGGAGGGCTGTATCTGGCCCCCGGGCTTTAGTTTGAGGACCCCTGATCTAGATGGTAATAATTTAGTTTGCAGTAAGTGAAGCAAATAATAAAAGTGACCTGATTCAGGGTGTAAGAGTCTCTTTTGTTTCATTTCAGAAATGTATATTGTAGCAGCCTTGATGTACTTGTACTTCCGTCTTGAAATCTGACACTTTTAAAAAAGATACATAGTACTGTTGCTTCAGGAGTGGTGGAAGGAAGGTGATGGTTTCCGATTTCTCTGTTTTCCAGCTCACTGCCCTTTGCAAACACCTAGACACCTTATGGGAAGAAAACAGAGGCTCTGTGGTCTTGTTTGCCTGGATACAGTTCCTCAAGGAAGAAACCCTTGACTATCTGAACATTGCCTCCCCATATGAGCCAAAGATATGTAGAAAAGAACCAGAACAAAATGGGACAAGCCAAGAGGATGCTTGCGACGGTGCAGCAGGTGGTGCCTTGGAACAGGAAGAAAGCCTTAATGGAAGAACTGTGCAAAATGTTGGGTCTTTGTCTACTTTAATCAGGGAGATTCTAGATTTTGACCATGCTCACCAAGAGAAGTGCTTCAATACTAAAATGCATGACTGCAAAATATGTTTTTCTGAGAAGCTGGGAAGTGAATGCATGTACTTTTTGGACTGCAGACATGTGTACTGCAAGGGTTGCTTAAAGGATTACTTTGAAATTCAAATCAGAGATGGGCAGGTCCATTGCCTGAATTGTCCAGAACCCAAATGCCTTTCGGTTGCAACTCCAGGGCAGGTAAAAAAACAACATTTTTTTTTGCTTAGTTTTAAAATTGCATAGTTTAAATTTAGTCCTGTCTTGAGAATTCAGTATACATAGATGTCCCATAGAAAGTGTATCAGTAATGCTAAAACATGCATCATAAAAGAGGTGTAGAGTTCTGTCAGAGGATTGCCTTAAAGGGCTAGGTGGGTATTGTCTAGAGCAGTGGTTCAAAACCTGTGGGTCCCCAGATGTTTTGGCCTTCAACTCCCAGAAATCCTAACAGCTGGTAAACTGTCGGGGATTTCTGGCAGTTGTAGGCCAAAACACCTGGGGACCCACAGGTTGAGAACCACTGCTCTAGAGGAAAGTTGTCAGTGATGGGATCCAGAGCCTCAAGTGAAAGGGGTTGACTTTTTTCTCTCATCTGCAGCCCCCCACTTTCCAAACCTGCTCTGAAGACCTGAGAAATTTTGAAGGCATATGTTTCAGCTGCCTTGGTAGACATGGGAAGGAATGGCCAATTAGATAATTGTCTTTGGTCTAAGCAGAGTTTTGAACCTTGTCTCATAGAAACCTATCCCAACATTCAAACCATTGCTCCATGCTGGTCTTTTCAAATAGGGAAGGGATGATTATATGTTTATTTATTGTAATTTCTCTAATATGAGACCCTCCTGCAGCAATGTTAGGAGTCCTCATTTTTCAGTAAGTAGAATTTACCAACACAACAATGTATTTATCATCATCTTTTTCTAGGTCAAAGAGTTAGTGGAAGAGCAACTTTTTGCCCGTTATGACCGCCTGCTGCTTCAGACCACCTTGGACTTGATGGCAGACATGGTATATTGCCCACGCCCAGGCTGCCAAACGCCGGTGATGCAGGAGCCCTCTTGTACTATGGGCATCTGTTCCAGTTGCAATTATGCATTCTGCACGTTATGCAAGATGACTTATCATGGTGTCTCACCATGTAAAATCTCTGCAGGTGAGTTGATTACAAGACACCCACATTTGGAATATTCAGATGCCAACTGCTTTAGTGGTTCTACTTCTCTCTTTGAGGTGGGCATCTATTCAAGAAATACCATTGTCATCATAGAATACTTTAAAGGTGAAGATTATACATTAGTCTTCTATTGTTATATTAGTCTCCAACCATATTTTCTTTGAATTCTCGCGTTCTTCACTTGTGTTATTGGCGGAGGATGTTGTTGTCATTAACTGCTGCCAAGTCAACTTCATCGTATGGCAGACTCATATTTGGGAGACCTCCAAGGCATCCCTTTTATCAACAGCTCTGCTCAGGTTTGCAGACTCAGAGCCATAGCTTTCTTGATTGAATTTATCCATCTACAATGCAGTCTTCTTCCAGACTGCCTTCTGCCTTGCCAAGCATTATTGTGTCTTCCAGTGAGTCATTCCTTCTCATTATATGAACAAAGTATGTCAAATTAAGTTTAGTCATCTTCATTTCCTAGAAATGAAGGTGACTAAACTTAGATTGACATACTTTTATTTGCTCTAGGATCCATTTATTGGTCTTTTTAGAGGCTCAATAGAACTCTTTTCCAACCCTTCATTTCACGTTAATTGGTATGTTGATATTTCTTAATCTAGTTTTTATACCTCCTTCCTCCAGGTCCAATCCTGATAGGTTCAACATACAAGTTAAGGAGATGGGATTATAAAATATATCTTAGCTCGGTGGTTCTCGGTCTGTGGGTTCCCAGATGTTTTGGCCTTCAAATCCTAGGAATCCTAACAGCTGGTAAACAGGCTGGGATTTCTGGGAGTTGTAGGCCAAAACACCTTGGGACTCACATGTTGAGAACCACTGCCTTAGCTGATCCCCTTGCCAATTGGAAACCATTTTCTGTATCACTTTACTTGTGTGGGAAATTAAAGCAATGCTCCTGTAGTTATTGCAATCCCCAGTGTCTCCTATATTGAAGACTGGAATGTATATTGTGTGTTTCCAAGCTGTTGGCCCTTGTTTTGTTTCCATATTGGCCAATTTTTGTTAGAACTATAGTAGATTCTAATTATGTAAATGGAAATAGTCTATTAGTATGCCAAGTACTCTGAGTACAGCGTCTAACTCACTTTCTAAACTTGGAGGCTGGTCTTCATATGGTTCTTCCTTGAATGAGTCTATCATTCATGTCTTTTATGGGATACGGGTATTTTGTACAATGCATCCACACTGTCTTTTTATTTCTACTTGATGATATAATGTAGCCCCATTCTTGGTCTACATTTTCCTCTGATATCTTGGATAGTGTAAGATTTCCTTGTCCTCCTTTTTTCTCTTACCACTCTCTGTTTCTCTGCACTGATTATTATCATAATTCTCTTTGTCCCAGTGCTCAAGCTGTTGAACAGCTACATTCAGAGTTCTGCCTCTATTTCTGTCACCTTTTACTTTTGCTACTTGTCCACCCTTCACTGCTTGTAGTATTTCATCTCTCATCCATTGAGCCTTCCCTTTCTTTTTTGGCTACAGATCATGCCTTTTTGCATTCTTTCCTGACAAGTGTCCCTGAATAGAGTGCAGAGTTCTTCTAGCTCCTGCTCAATTAGCTTTTATAGTGCAAATCTTTTTTTCATATTATCTTTAACTTCTACAGGCATGCTCTTCAGGTTATACTTCAACGTAAAAGTTGGTTTAGTGTTCTTTAGTTTTATTCTAATGTTAATTCATGGTCTCTGCCACAATCTATTTTTCCTTTTGCAGGGAGAATGGAGATTCTGCAAATTCTTCTTCCAATTATATAGGTTACTTGATTTCTATATTGGACATCAGATGATGTGGATGTATACAGTCCCTTCTTGAGTTGCTTGAAGAATGTGTTTGTGGTGACCAAGCTGTTGTCCTTGCAAAATTCAGTCATTCACTCTCTTACTTCAATTCTTGATCCTAGACCAGATTTTCCTACAGTCCTTGACTCTGCTCTGTTTCCTGTTTCTGCATTCCCATCTTCTATGATTAAGAAGAAGCCCTGTTTTGGTGGGTAATCAATTTCCCACTGGCTTCCAGCAGAGAATCTTTAATTTTCTTCTGCTGCCTCTGTAGTTACAACATAAACTTGGACTAAGATCATATGGATGTGGTTTCTTTAAAGTCTTATTGACATGATTCAGTCAGCACTATACCTTTTTGCTGTGTTTCTCTTCACTATAAACACCACTCCATTGTTTCTTCATTTTTCACTTCCTGAGTACAACACTGTAATTATCTGACTCAGTGTGTTCCATTCCTGTCCACTTTAGCTTGTTCACCTCAAGAATTGCAATGTTTATATATTTTATTTCTTGTTTTACTATGTTTAGCTTCCCCTGATCCATGCTTCTCACATTCCATGGACCTATGTAATATGCGTTGTGCAGCTTTGGATTTTCCTTTCTCCTTTTGGCTTGAGTCTGCTTGCATAATTACTAATTGCTCTACTATTAATCATTCTGTGCTCTACACCAGTAGCTCATTGCCTGCCACCCAACCTGGGATTTTGATCTTTTGGCATTATCATTGTTTCATCATAAGGTTTTCATGGTAAAAGAACTTCAACAGAAGGTTTACTATGCCCCTCTCTGCATAGTACTCCCAAGTGTTAATTTTGGTGCCACTGCATTGTCTCTGAGATATTATTTTCCACCATAGCTGCTGCCTCGTAATGCTTTGGAAATTTTGTCCAGTTTATTCCAGCTCCTTAACAAAAGTCTCTATGACATGCAAGACCCTACCAGCAGAATGACTACTATCATCATGGCCTCTTGTCTCACAGGAGCAAGCAGTCTTGGCACCATGTAAATATGGTACTATTGGTTGATAGGAGGATATCATGTCAAGAACATATAGGGGAGATGTATAGGACTATATACTGTCTATAAAGTTTGGTGGAAGAGAAGAAAAGAAGATAGTGGTTCTTCTGTAATATATTAATGTAGCTAATCATTCTGAATTGATAAACTAATAGGGCGGACAGGAATCTACCCAAAAACACTGTTTCATGGCTCAAATTGATTGTTCTGTATAGGGTAAATGTGCAAAACTAACCCATGATAGCATTTGCTTTATATGAGAAATAGAATTAAGTGCATCTGTATTACATCTTATGCAAATTGCTTTGGTTACATTTTTTTCCCTTAGAGAAGTTGGTGCAGTTGCGGGATGAGTACCTTGCAGCAGATGACACTACTAAAAAGTTTTTAGAGCAACGCTATGGGAAAAGAGTAATTCAAAAGGCTCTGGAGGAGATGGAGAGTAAAGAATGGCTAGAAACCAATTCAAAAGCATGCCCTTCTTGTGGAACTCCTATAGAGGTGAGATCAGGACAGAGAATGAGGACTTGAGATGTCTATTCTGACAACATTCCAGTTCAGCTATTCATAGTAGAACTTTGACCCTTTGAGTCATTCAGGATGATTGAGAAGGACCTGACAACTATATCTAAACACCTTCATAAAACTTTTGCCCCATGCTTTTGTAAGCACGAGGCTCCTTGGCTTCTGTGACTCATGAAATATTAAGACTTTTGTGGGGTCTGCTGTCAGCATGTGGGAGCATATTTAGGGCTAAAAGATGGAAAAGTCGACTTTTAGTGTGTTTGAATGTAATGTGCAAAGTTTTTCCTATAATGCTGACCAGCCAAATTACAAAAAGAGAAGACTGAGAGTTAAATGATGATCTTTGAAGGTATTCAGAATCACTAAACTGCAACATAGGATTGCAGAAATGCCTTTTTCAGTTGTTCAGCACTGAGATGGGAGAACCAGTGCAGGAACTCTTTAGTGCTGTGGAACATCTCTTTGAATATAAATAATTGAATTATCAGAATGTCTGTGTTCAGTCCTTAATGAGCCCCATAAATGGTGAGGATCTAAATCTTAATGTTGGCATATTGAGAAGGGAGGCAGCTCGTTTTCTGCTGTTCTAGAGACTGGGACACTGAGCAATAGATTCAAATGATAGGAAAAGAGTCCACCTAAACATTAGAAAGAACTTCCTGACAGTAAGAGCTATTCGAGAGCAGAAGATGTTGCTTCAGAGCCTGGTGGAGTCTCCTTCTCTTTTAAGCCGAGACTGGCTGGCCATCTATCAGAAGTGCTTTGATTCTATTTTCCTTCATGGCACAATAGGGTTGGACTAGATAACCCTAGTTGTCTCTTCCAACTATTATGATTCGTGATTGCCGGCTACAAATGCTCATATTAAACTGACACAAAAAAACAGTCTTGTGGCACTTAAACGACGAACATATATATTGAAGCGAAGACATGTGAGCTGTAAACCCCCTCCTCCTCCCTCCCTCGCAGCTGCATCTCTCACTCACTGCGCTATCTCATAAAATATTGAAGCATTATTATCCTGAATATTAAGGAGAGATAAGAAGATTGCAGAAAACTTAGATGAGCATAGAATGCATTTTAATGAGATATATTTGTGTTTGCTGTTCTCAGGAGGGGAGTGTTTGGAACTAAGGCAGGGTTAGAACTTACAACAACTGTATTAAAGCTGCACTTTAACGGTAATTTTCAGAGTGCCACTGTAGTATCCCATGTCAGTATTTACCAGGCTAGGCAGCTTTTTGTTATTTTTTTTAAAAAATCTGCTTGTTGTTTTTTTTTTAAGAAGCTTGTTGAGTCCCCTTGGGGAGATAGGGTGGAATACAAATACATAAATAAATAATTCATTTACATAGGGCTCCAGATTTGAGACTTCATTCTTGTTTTGCTGGTTGCCCATCTGCCAATCATGTTCTTGATGATGGAAAAATATGTAGGTTTTTATGGTGCCACAAGACTATTTTTGCCTTTGCTGCAACAGGCTAATATAGCTACTGTTCTGGAAATTGTTAGAAACATATGTGTTGTTAGATGTAACATGCAAAAGTATACCACATAGTAGTTAACAATCTGGTTTGTGTGTATGTGAATTATTATAAAACGAAGAGAGCAGCTATTTTTTCCTGAATTCCAGTGAACAAATGCAGAGTTGTCTAAATTCAAGAGTTCAGTGATTGATTCTAAGTATAACTGCTGTTTTTTTGGTTGGGTCCAGGAGAATTGATCCTTAAATTTGTGATTTCTTTTCTCTTCTCACCCTGCCCCTTTTTGCAATTGTCAGAAATTAGATGGCTGTAATAAGATGACTTGCAGTGTGTGCAATAGACACTTCTGTTGGTGTTGTATGGGTTCTCTGTCCAAGACCCGCCCTTATGAGCACTTTAATGATCCAGCCTCCCCATGCTTCAATAAGTAAGTATAAATGGATGGTTTCTCTCACTCTCTCACAGACACACGCAGACATACCAATTTCCAAACTTCTCATAGTTTGGTATCAGGAAAAGACTTAGTACCTTAATACCTGTTCTGTACTTTCCTTGGCTTTTTAATGTGTGTAATATTGATTTTAATTCCATCCTTGTGTAGCAGTTATATATTGTATTGTACACCACCCAGCAAATTCTACTGATGAGTAGTATATACATCTTACATTGTGGAAATTGAATGGGCAACCTTGTAGTCCTTCAGGTTTTACATTGTTGTTTCCATCAATATAAGACAGCACAGCCAAAAAGGAACTGCAAATCAAGAATATCCAGAAGATCATATACCCTATCTCTTCAGTAGATTTGTCCTGGACAATTTTCTGGACCAGGTGTACTACATGAAACACAGGGGGCATCAACACTGTAGAATGAATGCAGATTGTCAGTACTTTAACTAACATGGTTCAAAGCTATGAAATCAATGGGAGTTGTAGTTTTATAAGGTCTTTAGCCTTCTTTGGCACACAATGCTGGTGCTTCACCAAAGTGGAGCCCCCGGTGGCGCAGTGAGTTAAACCGCTGAGCTGCTAAACTTGTTGACTAAAAGGTTGCAAGTTTGAATCCGGGGAGCAGCATGAACTCCCGCTGTTAGCCCCAGTTTCTGCCAACCTAGCAGTTCAAAAACATGCAAATTTGAGTAGATCAATTGGTACTGCTCCAGCAGGAAGGTAACGGCGCTCCATGCAGTCATGCCGGCCATATGACCTCGGAGGTGTCTACGGACAACACTGGCTCTTCGGCTTAGAAATGGAGATGAGTACCATCCCCCAGAGTCTGACACGACTGGACTTAATGTCAGGGGAAAACCTTTACCTTTACCTTTACTGCTTCACCAAAGTACAATTCTCAGGAGTTTAGCTTAATGTTGAATTATTTAGTTATGTAGATGGCAGTTGTACAACCCAAAAAAATGTTTCCACACAATTTTGCTGGTTTCACAAATGAACTCTGGAAAAGAGGCCCACTAAAAATGAAAATGCAAGCTTTTTCTGTATGCAGGACAAGATAAATTTGGATAATTGTCTGATTCATAATTTAAACTTATTTTCTTGTGTGTCTCAGGTTATTTCAAGGTTTAATGAATGACATGGAAGAGGATATCTAATCCTGATCCAGCATCCAACGAAACTGAACAAAAACCTAATTGAAGTAAATAAATTAAATCAAAAATGCACATGGGCTCTGTTCAAGGCTGTTTTGTAACTGACAGAGAAGAACTTCAAGAGTCTGATGGAACTGTTTTCTTGTTTTATTTGCTGCTCCTGAGCACTCTTGCCATCATGGGATGATTTAGATTTTATAATTTACACATTAAACTAATATTAACATTTCCTCCCGTGCTCTTTTTAAAAATCACTCCACAGATTCTAAAACTAATCCTGAAAAAGCAGGAAATGGTAAAATACAGCCAGCTGGCCCCTTGTCTTTGACCATTAGTACAAGTGGTGGTGTAAATACAAATTGCTAGAAAACCCTAATTCCCTGTTTCTTCATATCAGGACTTCATTTTGTTTTTTGGTAGCACATGTTCCAACCAGAAAAGACAGAGAGCCTTCCAGGTTTATGAATGTATTCCAGGGATACTGTGACCTATCCGAATCTCACCCTACATGGAAGTAGATTTTCTAACACTGGCAAATTTGAGAAGGCATAACAGCTCCTGAACTAATTTATTGCATTATGTCCAGAAACTGGAGGCCAATAGAGATTTACAGATACATAATAAACCTGTGTTTCTCCAGTAGTTAGAAACCTTAGTAAAAACCTAGTTTGAACCTTTCTGAAGCCAAAGAGGAATGTATCAATTCTTGTTTATGCACCTATAAAAGTAATTTTTTTTAAAAAAACCCTTCTAACGGCAGATCCTCTTTACACAAGAATGCAGGGAAATATCAGTTGTCGCTCACGTGAAGGGCCTTCACAGGGACGAGGTGCTTTCCTTTTCAAACACACTGCTTTCACATGAAGAAAATGATGGAAATGGGCAGAGCTGGAATGCTTTGCTCCTTGTGTGCATATAACACATGTGCCCACAAAGAGAGCAGACAGCAGTAGCAATATAAACCCTGGAACATTGCCACCCAGCCTGGAAAACTCACAACAACCCAGTGATTCCAGCCATGAAAGCCTTCGACAACACATCTTCCTTTGCTTCAGCAGAGTCATGAATGGGATAGTCCCTCCATCCAACATACTTTCCACATTTACCCAGTGTCTTGAAAAATTACTTTATTTTTGAACTGCAGTTCCTAGTTGAGGGACTGCAGTTCAAAAGTATCACTTTTCATACTTTGGTTTCATTTTCTTAGACAATTCCAAAACATGGCTAGAGAGAAAATGTGTTTTTGTTTTGTAGATGACAAATAAGGCCCCCCTGGTGGCGCAGTGGGTTAAACCGCTGAGCTGCTGAACTTGCGGACTGAAAGGTTGGCGGTTCAAATCCAAGAGCGGGGTGAGCTCCCAATGTTAGCCTCAGCTTCTGCCAACCTAGCAGTTGGAAAACATGCAAATGTGAGTAGATCAATAGGTACCATTTCTGGGGAAAGGTAACAGCGTTCCTTGCAGTCATGCCGGCCACATGACCTTGGATGTATCTGTGGGCAATGCTGGCACTTTGGCTTAAAAATGGAGATGAGTACTACCCCCCCCCCCCTCCAGAGTCAGACTCGACTAGACTTAATATCAGGGGAAAACCTTTACCTTTTAGATGATAAATAGCAATGGTGAAAACTTGACGTATCATTTTTCTTTGAGCAGGTGTCCATCCAATAAGGCCTAGCACCCTTTTCCCAACTCTATAAAATAAATACATCCCAGTTGTTTTTCAAAAATCCTGTTAGTCTTTAATGTTAAAAAAAATTGCAAACATTCCACTTCTTGCAAATTCCATACTTGAGTATATGTATCTGCATATAGATTGAGATTAATATTACAGGTTAAAATCTCTTTCCCAGTTATCCTTAGTGCATTTAATGATCTGTTAAGTGATAGACTATTTCCATTCTGTCACTCGGTCAGTTTGAACTGATAATGTTCAAACAGTGCTGTTGTTGGAGAATGCTTGATGTGGTCACATTTCCTGCTACCAGTTTAGCATGGAGGGGAAATGTATTTTCCAATAGTGGAAATGAAGGATGTGTACTGCTGCAGATTTCACCTCCTTGTGTTACCAGAAGGGTATGCTTAACCAGTTTCTCAGGACTCAAGAGTCTAGTCACCGTATGGCTTCTTTCCTTGGCTTTTCTTTGTTCCTGTTTCTTTCATACTGTATAGTGGTTCCACAAGTTTGTCATGAACAAGCATCAAGCCTGAGTAAGGGAAAAGAAAACAGTTATTTCTTCTAATGCCTGTGTCCCAAAAACTGTGGCCAAAATGATGGAATATTTGTTCTTCCTATTCCACGTTTTCCTTTGTTATTACCTTGGAATGTTTACATGACATTGAGTGTAACTTATTATTATTATTATTATTATTATTAACTTTATTTGTACCCCGCGAGCATCTCCCGAAGGACTCGATGCGGCTTACACAGGCCGAAGCCACAAACACAATATAAGAAACATAACATAGCAATAACAAAGCAAATCAACAATTAAGCAAAACAACAATGACAATACATCAAGACATATTAAAACTGGTTCGGCCGGCGTAAAGGGGTACAGGGTTAAAAGTGCTGAAATGGCAGGAGGGGTGTAGGAATTAAAAGTGCGGTGTGCAGCGATGTTAATTGTGCTAAAGTGCTACTAGGACTTGGGATGGAGATTCCTAATCTGAGAAGGCACAACGGAACAGCCAAGTTTTCAAATTCCTTCTGAAAACTGCTAATGTAGGGGCCTGTCGGAGATCTTTTGGAAGGGCGTTCCAGAGTCGGGGGGCCGCCACGGAGAAGGCCCTGTCCCGTGTCCCCACCAAGCGCGCTTGCGATGTAGGTGGGATCACGAGCAGGGCCTCCCCAGATGATCGAAGCGAGCGTGTGGGTTCGTAGATGGAGATGCGGGCACGCAGGTAGGGAATATTATAACTGGCAGACTCATTAGCTCTTTTAAAAAAACCCTTGTATTCTGAAAGAGCTAACATTTTAGAAGGCCAAAACATTGTTCCTCGTCCGTGTTTCCTTTTTCCAGATTGTCATTGGTTGCATGGCTTCTCCTCTGTCTCCCTGCCCCTGAATATTGAGCACCAAATTAGCTGACACATTCTCTGTACACATTATCATTCCCTAAAAGGAACAGCCAGTGAAGTGAGGTGAGGAAATGCTTAATGTCTTTCTTCAATCTTACTCCATTGGCGAATTACAAGGATGCTGATCAGACACGTCCAGACAAAGATACCTGGAAATGTATCTTCAGCTATGATAACAGCTACTCACAGTTCTGAATGGAATCCGAAGTATTATCCTTAAAGGGTCACACGCTGCATGTAATCCACAAGCCTCTGGCTAGGCATTGTTGAATGCTAAGTACAGGCTAGCTGTGACTGAATAGGTCTTTCAATCAAGATTCTTGTACTAAAACCCATTTAATGCCCAAACATTTGTGAGGGGGATGGAGCACACCAATAACCCATACTACTTCTTTGGCAGATTTGTTTTTGTTTTTTTTATCTGCCCTGGCTTCCTTCTAGTTATTTTTCTCATTTCTTTTATCCATACATATACATAACTCTTCTGCCCCCATGCTATCTTAACTACTTTGATGGTGAACAGGTTGCATAGAGAACAGATTGGAGACTAGATAACTGAATCAAACATGAATGAATTAACTGACAAGAATTTTAGATTTTCTCTCCTCCTGAGTCTCACTACAAAGTCTTTATGAGGAGAGGTGAAGTTTTGCGAGATAGATTCGGTTCTAGCTGAACTAAGGCTCTTGAATTTTATTTCTTCTTCTTGTCTCTTTCTTGTATGATGTTCAACTATTTCTAAGATGGTCTCAAAATTTAACTGACTGGACTTGAATACAGCTCTGACTGGACATGCTATTCTGTAGACCCTCCAGCTCTCCTCTCTCTCCACCTTCCTCTCACGAAAAGGTTATCTTCCAAGAACCAGAAGTGTCTTGCCTGAGGCTCCATACCTGAGAGGTTTCTTAAAGGGGCAAGGTGACAGAGGCTTGAAATGCAAAGAGGCTGTCTAGACTGACCCCCCCCCAGACTGACCCCCCCCCCTTTCATCCAACAATAGAAAATATGCAGCTGGTAGTGCAGGAAGATTAATGCTAGTAAAAACATATTTTCGGATACAGGCCAATGACTCAAGTGTTGACTTATGAAGTCCTGTTTTTTCAATAGTCTGCTCTAGTTGGGACTAACAATTGGTTCATCCGCTGATATTTAAGGCTGGCAGATAAATTCATATATTTCAAAGCAGGAACTGGAAACAGGTGCCAGCCCAATGGAAGCCTTTTACACAATCAGTGGTAGGCTCAAGTTACCATAGCTCACTTCAGTGTTTTAATGTCTCCTTTACGCAGCCATTCTCAGCTACTTACCATGAAAGTACTTCACTGTTTTGACTTTCAATTCCAGAGTGGCATCCTCATCACACACAAACACTGTGCGGGGATGTTGCTGAAAGGCCGACACTGTCCACATGTGGTTTATGCCTTCTTCAATAGCTTTGTGCAAGGCAAATGCTTTGTGAGCTCCTGTGATTAGAATCATAACCTGAATTTCAGGAAAACACAGCAAAAGCTTTGGCTCGTATTACAAGTTTCAGAAAGTAAAAAAGGTTTTACATTTGTAAAGACAAAGGCATAGAAATCAGCAGCCACCCACCAACATTTTGCAAATGAATAAAGTCAAAGAGTGCTACTGCAATAGTTTGAAACTCTGTTCATTGAGTAAGGGAGGACAGAGAGAAAATTATAGCCATTAAAGCAAACAAGAGCTCCCCACTCATTTTAGAATGAACTTGAAACTGATCTCCTCAAAACAAAGCCAGAAACTGGAAAACAACCACATAATTTACATGAGCCCTCTGAGTAGTCACATATTTCTAGTAAAGAATAATTCCTTCTAGCAAAGCAATAAAGTTGCATTTAAACATTTCAAGCAACCCCCCCCCCCCCGCACATTCTCCATCTGGATTCCACAGGTATACAGGGATATGTGGGAGAGTCGCCAAGTAACTCCTGGCTTTGTTTAAACAACAGATTTACTGTACTAGTAGCAGCCAATCAGTAGAAAATGAAGAATACAGCAGACTCAGATTAAAAGTCACTGACTCATTTGCTGACATTGGCTATATTAAGGCTGTGGCTTTCTCACAAGTGTTACCAGGCCATGCTGTAGTGAGATTTCCAGGGTTCTTTGCTAGTTCATTTGCTGTGTCAGCAGAAGCAGTTCAGATGCTAAACTGGTTAGACTTCCATTTATCTGGAAGCTCTATAGTTCTCATGGCATGTTAACAATCCTGCAGCACCACAGGGACAAACACATTTATTATAGCATGAGCTTTTATGGCCTACAGTCTTATATAGCTTGTTCCTTGTGATGTTGTCACCTTCCAGAAATGTACTTTGATTCAGTTTGAAATAAGAAAAACAATATAATAATAATAATAATAATAATAATAATTTGGAAACAGTAAACATTGACAAAATCACGATCATCTGTAAAAGGCCACTTTACTTGGATCTGCACGCATAATTCGAAAATACATCACACAGTCCTAGACCCTTGGGAAATGTTCAACTTGAGATTTTGTGATACAAAATGCAGCATATAGATCTCATTTGCTGTGACATACTATGTTTTGTGCCAGTTAATAATCATCATCATCATCATCATCATCATCATATAAAACTTTATTAAAATTCCGCTCTATCTCCCCAAAGGGACTCAGGGCAGATTCCAAACATAAAAGGCAAACATTCAATGCCCAAATATAACAACAATACATCCATACTAACAAAATTTATACAACCCAACATATAAACACAAATTATAACTTAACAAACTAAGATTAAATAAAAAGCACAGCCTGCTATAACAGACATAAGAAAAAACATGAAACATCGAATGGAAACAATTTCCTATTTCCTTGGGGCAAACTGATTAATCATTGCTCAAGATATCTATTGAGCTGGTGGGGTGAGCAGGGAACGCATACGAATTGCAACGATTAATCAGAGGTATAATGGTAGTACTACCAACTACTATTCCTCCTCTTCTAAGCCAGTGAGCAAAGGTATGTCTTCAGTTGTTTTTTGAAAGCGGGGATGGAGGGAGCCATCTTTAACTCCTTAGGAAGGGAGTTCCAGAGGTTGGAGGCAACAAACAAACAAACTGGTACAACAAAACCAAATGGATATTCTGTAGGAAAACGTTTGTTATTAAGTTCTGGGCCATCATCTTTATTGTGCTGAAGACAAATGTGATGTGTGTGGATGCATACATATGTGTGTGAAGACTGCACTATGGATCTAAGGTCACAATTTATAAACATACTACTATTTCACTTACACTTCTCATCTGTTACAACAGAAATAAAGTTGAATGGGGAAAAAACATAAGTCAGTGTTTAAGTCCCAATAACGCCAATGAGATTATGCACACAATAGTCTAGAGCAGGCATCTGGTAAACTTCGACCCTCCAGGTCTTTTGGACTTCAACTCCCAGGAAATCCCAGCCATCTTACTATCTGCTAGGAATTGTAGAAGTCCAAAACACCTGGAGGGTCGAAGTTTGCCCATGCCTGCTCTAGAATACATCCACCCAAATGTATTTTGGTTCAAAAACACACTTTCTCTTTTCTTCTGTTAGGTTACTATTGTGCTACTTACCTCTCGAGCATCCATGACTGTACCCACTCCAACTGTGAGAGCCATTGTAGGCACTTTGGAGAGGTCACCCTCAAAGAATCGGGCATTAGCCAATATTGTGTCCATCGCCAAAGTCTTCACTCTGGTTCTAGACACCAGGCTCGAGCCTGGTTCATTGAAAGCAATATGACCATCTGGACCAATACCTATAATAGAGACAGTTGGAATTTATAATCTAGCAAGCAAAAGCAACGGCACTTTATGGATAAATAATTGAGTATAAGTGCATAACCTTAGCAGAACATTGGGAAATATGATTTAAGATTGGATAATCTATTCCTTGCACTTCCATAAATCAATGATATGGCATACATGTGAGGGTTTCCAGTTTTAAGATAAGCCCATGAGCCACTTATTTCATAGTATATCTACTGCAAGTGAAGTTGACTTTAAACCAAAACACCCAGTAATTTTTTAGCCCAGTCTAATTAACATTGACTTCAATAATACATTCCCAGGTCTTCACCCTTTGAATTTCAGCGTTCTTTGTTCTTGCTATTGGGCAATGAGCTCTTCATTTTTACCAAATTACTTCAAGCAGTTAAGAAAAAATATTACACTGGTGTTTATGTTACACTGTGAAAAAAGGACCAATATCTCATGCTTCCAGAAAGAAATAACCCCATCTACTACTCCTAAAAGGCTTTGGCTGTTGTGGAAGTTACATCCCAAAAGATCTGGAAGGTCAAATGTTCTGTATTATAGTAAGTGTTACATGTTCAAAGAAATATGCTGCACAACACTTGTAGGAAGGCATGTAACATCAATGTAGACTTTTTATTCATTACACAGCTTTTTTGTCTGTTTCACGCATGAGTGTACATTACTTTGTATGTATATAATCCTGGACAGTTTACCAAGTTGACTTCCAGCATAATGCAAAATGGCCCTGATGCAATTACCGGTATTTTTTGAAGAGGTATGAAAGCTCTTTATGACACTCAAGGCTGCAGTGGCCATTTCACACATACTGTGAGATACATAAGAGTGCATCAACACTGTAAAATGAATGCAGTTTGACACCACTTGAACTGCCAAGGCTCAATGCTTCAGAACCATGGGAGTTGTAGTTTTCCAAGGTATTTATTCTTCTCTGCCAAAGAGTGCTTGACCTTGACAAAACTACAACACCCAGGATTTCAGAGCATTGGGCCATGGCAGTTAAAGTGGTGTCAAACTGCATTCATTCTACAGTGTAGATGCACCATAAGCATGCACAAACTCATTGCTATGCTTCCTCCAGCCCTCTTTCAAACAGCTACCTCCAACAAAGAGCTCGATTCCTCCCGCCTCCTTGATCTTTTCTTCAAAAGCATCACACTCTGCCTGTAGATCAGGTGCATTCCCATCCAGGATATGAGTGTTTTCAGGATCAATGTCAATATGCTTGAAGAAGTTGTCCCACATGAAGGAATGATAGCTCTCTGGATGATCCCTTGGCAGACCTAACAAAAGAGGACATTCACTCATGGTTATGCACATTCCATTTACACCCCACTTTCCTAACCATAATAATAGTGAACAACACTATTATTGCAATAAAGCAACAACTGCAATAAAGTGCCTGCTTTATATGCTAGAGATCCTAGGTTCAATCTCCAGTTGGAGGTCTTTGAAGCATCATCCCTTGCATTAGAGACCCCGGAGAACTGCTGCCAGTCAGTCAATAATTTAGGACTGGTTGGACACAGGAGAAATCCAACTATGGCTTTCCACTTGGAGAAATTCCCTCGTCCACACAACTGCTAATGGATATGGGGAATAAAGGATACAAAACTGAGACTTATTTCTGTTCTTGAGATCCAACAGGATCATTCTACGTACTGCTTCTTTCAATGGAATTGGCAGCAGGGAATATTTCCTCCTATGAATCCTCAAAACCTGCTCCAGGGTATAGGAAACCTTCATAGGTCATTGAGGTCTTCCATGAATAATGTGAAAATACAAATCAAATCCTGTCTTCCATGAATAATATGAAAATACAAATCCAATCTCTCACACCAATAAATTTTCCCTCTATCCCATCCCCTTCACAGCATTCCCTGAGCTCCAACTGGCTAACATCAACCATTGCTTGCAGAACATTTTGAATTACAACCTGATCTCTGTGGTAGCAAGACAGCAAATATACTCCAAAGTAGTACTGCAGTATGCAGAGATAGAGCTGGTGCTTTATATTCTTATTGCTGTTTTTGCACTGTGTCCCCTAAGATAAATTCTGTGCATGAGGGTATCCCATTTCTACTTGGCAAATCCTACATTCCTCTTCCATTGTATAAAGTGCACTCTGAGTCAATGCACTACCTATCTTAACCCTTGAATGTTTTAGAAGTGCTTAAACAGAACAGAAAAATGCCCCAGAGTTTGTTTTCTTGCCATAGCAAGCGAGAAGATAGGGGAAGTGTCAAAGTTCTCATAATCTTGAGGCAATGTTGCAGGAGAACAACTATTTGCAGATGTCATCAGATACTAGTTAATGGTAATGCAGGTACTGTTATTGCAGGACAAAGGGCATAGCTTCTTAAATTCTGATAGGAAAATTCTGACTTTGCTCCCATTCTTCAATGGCTAATGCAAGCTGATCAAGGCACCAAGTAGCTGCCTATGCAGAAGATCACAGTTGTTCAAAAATTATGTTTAGATACACTAATAATTGTACTTTTTACTAAATTTAAATCAGAGCTTAGAAAAGTTGGATTACAATGCCCACAATCACCCAGTGGGGATTCTGGCTAGGGAATTAAGGGAATTGTTGTTCAAAAGTATCATTTCCAAGGTCTGGAATACATACACAAAGACACAACTTAAGTACTGGCTTCTCATACTGCAAGAAAATACTTTAGTTATTGTTTCAAGATAACTAAAATATGAGAGAATAGCAACAAAATGTTGCAGGATAACTTTCCTCCTAAGAGCCCTGCTGTTTAGGATTCCCGCCAGCCATGGGCAATCCAACCAACTCTTTCCATTCTATGAACTCATGTTTTCCCATTCTTACTCATTTGACACTCCTTATTCCTTGGCCCCCAATGGGGCTACTTTTTTACTTCATTAGACCTCCTGTTTTTAAAGTTTCCTTCTACTTCTGGAGGCCTTGGGTGACACTAACACATCTTGTCCTTCATATTTATTTACACACTGGCTGAGTTTTCAATAAGAGGGTCTCCTCTCCTTACAGTTCTGTTACTCCCAACAGGAGTACAAGAAGTCAGTATTTGTAATGGTGCAAGGTTCAACACATATATTTTACAAAGAGCACTTCCTTCTTACAAACTGCTGCAAGCTCTGCAGCTCGATCCAAAAGCAAAACTGAAGGCTGTGGGAAGAAAACTGTGAAGAAGTCTTTCCCAACCCATCTCTTTGCTCCACAAACTCATTCACCACAAGCAACAGGGAAAGCCTGTCTTGGAGAACTAGCCCAACCTTGTTGTTGTGCATGAACATGAAAATGACAAAATTAGAAGAGGAAAGGAGCTTTTCACCAACTCCTTGAGTTGCATATGTAGGTCTTTATACTAGAGTCCACTACTTTGTTGCTTACTGGTAGTTTTTAAAAGATAGTACCTTAAAGATCAGTGAAGTAGACATGAGTAGAGATGTACAAAATATAAAGCCCTAAATGGTTCAGGCCCAGCCTACTTGAGGGACCGCATCTTCTCCTACCAGCCCACATGAGCCCTGAGATCATCAGAAGAGGCCATTCTCTCAGTCCCACTGCCATAACAAGCATGGTTGGTAGAAACGAGAGAGGGTATTCTCGGTGGTAGCCCCGCAGCTCTAGAATTCCCTTCCCAAAGAGATGCAATTGGCCCTCTTTCTATTAGTCTTTTGTGTACAGGTCAAAACCTTCCTGTGGAAGCAGGCCTTTCTCAATAACCCATAATAGGAAATGATCAGGCTGCGATGGGTAAAGAATATCAATGAAGGCTATCTCGGACTTGACAATGTATACACTGTCTAAACAAATATAGTTTTAAGATTTTTAATATAATTTTTATGGATGACCTCAGGGGCCTAAGGCCCAGGGAATTTTAATGGAACATGTTGCATTTATTAACTTTGTTGTCTATGGTTTATGTAATTGTGTTATCTGTTTATTAATTTTATCTGACACAAAATTTTAGCTTTTGTGTCATGTAATTTCTGTCATTTTAATTACTGTTTGCCTATTTGAGTTCCACCCATAGGTTAAAAGCAGGATATAAATAAATAAATAAATAAAATACAGAACTGAGTTGGATTTTGTACGCCTGGGGGATGTTGAAATAATAAAAAATACATCTGTGCCCATTCCTTTTGCTTTAGCAAAGTCTGTGGTTGCCGACTCCCTTCCTAGAGTGCACATTGGGCATGGGGTGAAACAGGCCTCTAGTCTAAGAATGCTTGCTTCTCAGAGGTGAAATATGAGCCGGCAATTTCTTGGTTAACAGCTCAGTTCTTGAGTCACTTGATGCACTTGTGTATATATCGGCTTGTCTATAAACAAACAAACATGTTGATGTTCAAAAATATGTGGACCATGAACAGCAGTTATTGCTCTCCACACCTGTTCTCAACATAAAAGTTGACTCACCTACATATTCATCCATGTTGAAGGTTTTCACATATTTGAAAGATAAATCGCCATTACGGCAATATTCTATTAGTTTTCTGTAGCATCCGAGTGGAGTACTTCCTGGAAATTAAAAAAAATGGTGCACTTTCAGCAAAGTTTTAGTTCTATACCACAGAAACCCACAGACAGCAATGGAGTGCAATACCAATATTGCAAGTGCTTTCCTCAGCACTATTTTGATCACGGTGATATCTGCCTATCTACTTGTCTGTTTGATTAGTAGTCATAGATTGCACTGTGCTCTATTTATTCATTCATTTGTGATAATATCAATCTTAAAGGTCCTTCAGGTTGACAGATATCAATATAGTGCATTATGTGGTAGCGATAACCATAATTTAATTATATATTGTGTAAAGTTCTTCTCATTACCGGTTCTGAATCTCCTCCATTTCTGTATGATTCCCAGTGCCAGTACAGGTTGAATATCCCTTATTCCAAATGCTTGGGACCAGAAGTGTTTTGTATTATGGATCCATCCCCTCCTATAATTTTGGAATACTTGCATAGGTAGAGTATAGTCAAGTCTGACTCTGGGGGTTGGTGCTTATCTAAATTTTTAAGCTCAAGAGCCGGCGTTGTCCATAAACACCTCCAAGGTCACGTGGACAGCATGATTGCATGGAGCACTGTTACCTTCCCACCGGAGCAGTACCTATTGATCTACTCACATTTGCATGTTTTTGAACTGCTAGGTTGGCAGAAGCTGGAGCTAACAGTGGGAACTCACCCCGTCCCCCAGATTCAAACTGCTGACCTTTCAGTCAGCAAGTTCTGCAGCTTAGCGTTTTAACCCACCAGGACCAAGTCTAAATATGAAATTAATTTATGTTTCATGAATACATAGCTTGATGGTATTTTATATACAATGTGTTTACTTTGTACATTCAGTTTGTGTACACTGATCCATCAGAAAACAAAGGGGTACCTGTCTCAGCCACCCATGTGGACCATTTTGGATTATTTCAGAATTCCAGATAAGAGAAACTCAGCCTGTACTGATAGAAGAAGACCCTTCCCCCCAATCCATGCCTTCTGTACTATACATAGATAAGGTAAAGGTTTCCCCTTGACCTTAAACCTAGTTGTGTCCAACTCTGAGGGGTAGCACTAATCTCTATTTCTAAACTGAAGAGCCGCCCTTGCCTGTAGTCATCATCAAGGTCATGTGGCTGGCATGACTGTATGGAGCACCATTACCTTTCTGCAGGAGTGGTACCTATTGATCTAATCACATTTGAATGTTTTCAAACTGCTAGGTTGGCAGAAGCTGGGGCTAACAGCGGGAGCTCACCCCGCTCCCTGAATTCAAACTGCTGACCTTTTGGTCAGCAAGTTCTGCAGCTTAGCAGTTCAACCCATTGTGCCACCAGGGGTCCCGTACTATAAATAGTATTAGAAAATTCTATTGTGTCCTCCATCCTTAATAGCTTTCTTCCTAAGGTAAGTCCTACTGAATTTTCTTGTTTAACATAGCCTACAAAGAGCTTCTGATTCTTTTCAGCTGTCACTCTAAAAATTATGAGCATATGACATGGGAAGGGCATTGGAGGACTCAAGCACAAGCAAAATGTACACATTTATAAACAAGTTCTGTAAAACTTTAGAATAATAAATACTCAACTAGTCTCAACTAGAATAGCCAGTTGACTCAAAGGAACAATTCAATAAGGGCCCCTCCAGATAAGCCCTATATTCTAGGATCTGATCCCATGTTTTCTACATTAAACTGGATTATATGAGTCTGCACTGCTATATAATCTGGGATAAGCAGAAAAACTGGGATATAGGGCCTGTCTGGAAGAGCCCTATGCTTACTTTGATTCAGGCTGGATTTACACCGTCACATAATGCAATTTCAGAATCTGCATTGAAGTGGATCAGGCAAGTCTACACTGCCATATAATCCACCTCTATGCAATTAATCTGCATTATATGGCAGTGTAGATCCAGAAGTTGTCCTTTCATGAGAATTGACAACTGGGTGTATGCTTTCGTGTACAATCATCTCTTAAACATTTATGGCAAATGCATAAGGTGATCACTGATGGCAAACACCCCAAATTATTTTTGACTTCATTGTGAACACAGGCTGAATGATGCAGCCAAGTAACATCTTATCCCTGCAAAACCTCCTTGAATGCCAGGCTGGAAACTTACCAGTGGGAAGTCCAAGGGTGAAATATTTGTCCGGACCCGGGTTGAACTGGATTATTCGATTCCTAATGTACTTTGCGGCCCATTCACTGGCTTGATCATAATTTTCTAGAATGATGAGCTTCATCCCAACCTGCAATTGTGAAAGAAGGCTTTGGTTAACAGACCCTGCTCCGCTTCCAAGACCTGGTGCCTTTAGGCAGGGATGGGCAAACTTCAGCCCTACAGGTGTTTTGGACTTCAACTCCCACAATACCTAACAGCCGGTAGGCTGTTAGGAATTGTGGGAGTTGAAGTCCAAAACACCTGTAGGGCAGAGTTTGCCCATACCTATGATAGAGTGTTTTGGTGAGGCAAAGCTACAGCTTCCAAGATCCCATAGCACTGAGCTATGGCGGCCAAAGCGGTGCCAAACTGCATTCATTCTACAGTGCAGACGACCCTTCCTTCCTTCCTGGAACTGTAACTCACCGCCGTTCTCCAGCCGCAGCCTCTGCTCCTCCGCGCTGCCTTCGCTCTTCGCCCGCCTCTTTGTGACGTCACCCAGTCACGTGATCTTGGGAAAAGAGCAGAGCCAGCGGCCCTGCTATCGCCCTTCGCATCCCTTCATACCCCTGGGTCCTAGCGCCGCCCGTTTCTTTCCGCCTCACCTGGCTGGCAATCATGCACAGTCTTCCACGGTGCATTGGGAATAAATGTAATTTGGCTGACAGGGCTCTGTGTTATGGAATCCTTGGATTTGTAGTTTAGAGAGGCGCCTTCACTCTTTGGCACAGAACTACAACTTCCATACTACTACTCCTATTATTATTATTATTATTATTATTATTATTATTAAACTTTATTTGTACCCCGCTAGCATCTCCCGAAGGACTCAATGCGGCTTACACAGGCCGAGGCCTCAACACACAATATAACAATACAATCTAAGCCGATCAAAACAATTAAAACAAAATAAAACAAAAAAGAACAACAGGCAATAAACAATACACTAAAGCACAATAAAACTGGGCCTGGCCGGAGTAATGGGTACAAGATTAAAAGTGCAGATGTGACAGGTGGTATATATGAGGCTTCTAGGGCAAGTGCGGTGTGCGGTGTGCAGCAGTCATTGGTTCTAATAAAGTGCTTATGGGACTTGGTATTGGAGATTTCTTATTCTGGGAAGGCACATTGGAACTACTAATAATAATAATGACAGTCGAATTGAGGAAAATCAACAGGAAAAACTCAGCTGTTATCAGGACCTCAAAATCGAACTGCAAAGGCTCTGGCATAAACCAGTACAGGTGGTCATCAGCACACTGGGTGCCATGCCAAAAGATCTCAGCCGGCATTTGGAAACAATAAACATTGACAAAATAACAATCTGTTAACTGCAAAAGGCCACCTTACTTGGATCTGCACACATCATTCAAAAATACATCACACAGTCCTAGACGCTTGGGAAGTGTTCGACTTGTGGTTTTGTGATACAAAATCCCGCATATAGATTTGCTGTGACCTACTGAGTTTTTGTGTCAGTAAAATAATAATAATAATAATAATAATAATAATAATAATAATAATGCATTATTTATTTGCAAAAGAAGATCACACAGATAGACTACAGGCAGGGGCATAACACCGTTACTCAGATGATTCATTGGAACTTGGGCCACAAATACCATCTGCCTACGACAAAGAACTGATGGGGTCAGAAGCCTGAAAAAGTTACAGAAAATCAACATGTCAAACTACTCAGGAACTTCCAAATTCAGACAGACAGAGTTTTGGAGCACAATACACCTGAACTCACAATCGTGTTAAAAAACAAAGTATGGATTGTCAATGTTGCAATCCCAGCAGCAGGACTGAAGAGAAACAACTGGAAAAGCTGACACAATATGAGGATTTAAAGATCAAACTGCAAAGACTCTGGCACAAACCAGTCAAGGTGGTCCCAGTGGTGATTGCCACACTGGGTGCAGTGCCTAAAGACCTTGGCCTGCACTTAAACACAATTGGTGCTGATAAAATTACCATCAGCCAGCTGCAAAAGGCCATCTTGCTGGGATTTGCACACATTATTTGCCGATACATCACACAGTCCTAAACACTTGGGAAGTGTCCGACGTGTGATCCAATACAACAGCCAGCAGAGTGATCTTGTTTGCTGTGGATTCATCTTGTTGTGTTTCAAATAATAATAATAATAATAATAATAATAATAATAATAATAATAATAATAATGCTTTACTGAATTGCAGAAGCCACAAAACAAACCTCTGTACAACTTGGATTGATTACAAAAAAGCATTTGACTCACTGCCACATTGTTGGATCATCAAATGCCTAGATGTCATTGGGGTTTGTGAAAATATTAGAAAGTTCACTGAAAATGCAATGAAACAATGGAAAACTGAGTTGTTTGTGGGCAATGAAAACTATGGAATTGTTAACATCAAGAGAGGAATTTTCCAGGGTGACTCACTGTCCCCAATATTGTTCATCATGGCAATGATCCCACTGTCAGTAATTCTACAGAAAACAACTTGGGATACGAAACAGCAAGAAATTCACACAAAAAGTCCCACTTGTCGTACATGGATGATCTAAAGCTTTACAGAAAAACAGAAACTGAAATCCAGTCACTGACCAACACAGTCAGAATCTTCAGCACTGACATCAGTATGGAGTTTGGCCTAGACAAATATGCTACAATGGCATTAAAGAAAGGGAAAATTACTCACAGCAAGGACAAAGAGATGTCAACTGGACAAACCATAAAATGCAACCAGCCTGAAGACAATAAATATCTGGGCGTACTACAGTTGGACAGCATGGGCATGTGAAAGATGTGGTCACAAAAGAATATGACCATAGAGTCAGAAAAGTTTTGAAGAGAAAATTAAATGGTGGAAATACAATCAAGGTTATCAACGCCTGGGCCATCCCCGTCATCAGATACACTGCTGGAATTGTGATCTGGACACAAACACAGATGGATGATCTGGACAGAAAAACAAGAAAACCGATGACAATCCACTACTCATTAGACTGGCGTAGTGATGTCGACAGACTTTACCTGCTCAGAAAATCAGGAGGCAGAGGGCTTCTGCAAGTGAAGCAAAGGGTAGAAGAAGAGAAACATGCACTGGCAGATTATGTGAAAGGCAGTCAAGAACCAACACTGATGGAAGAAAAATGCTTCAAGTGCAAAATACAAAGAGTGAATACCATAAAAATACAATGCAGAGCAGAAGAGAAAACTGGCAAAAGAAGGCTCTCCATGAACAGTTCCTGGGAAAAATTGAGAGCCAAATTGACAAGGAAAAAACATGGCTGTGGCTCACAAATGGAACTTTGATTCTGGCAGCCCAAGGACAAGCCATTAGAACAAATGCAATCAAAGCCAGAATTGAAAAGTCCACGACAGATCCCAAGTGTAGCTGACAAAACGACAGATCACATCGTCAGCTGTTACAAGAAGATCACACAGACAGACTACTAACAGAGGCATAATATCATTGCTTAGATCAGGGGTCCTCAAACTTTTTAAACAGAGGGCCAGGTCACAGTCCCTCAAACTGTTGGAGGGCCGGATTATAATTTGAAAAAAACATGAATGAATTCCTATGCACACTGCACATATCTTATTTGTAATGGAAAAGACACATAAAAACAATGTAATAATTAAAATGAAGAACAATTTTAAAAATATAAATTTATTAGTATTTCAATGGAAAGTGTGGACCTACCTTTGGCTGATGAGATAGTATTGTTGTTGTTGTGTGCTTTCAAGTAGTTTCAGGCTTTGGTTGACACTGAGCGAGGGCCGGGTAAATGACCTTGGAGGGCCGTATCCGGCCCCCGGGCCTTAGTTTGAGGACCCCTGGCTTAGATGATCCATTGGAACATGTGCCACAAATACTATCTGCCTGCTGTGACAAAGAACTGGTGGGATCATAAGCCTGAAAAGGTTAAAGAAAATGAACACATCAAACTACTCTGTATGGAATTGTTAACATCAAGAGAGGAATTTTCCAGGGTGACTCACTGTCCCCACTATTGTTCATCATGGCAATGATCCCACTGTCAGTAATTCTACAGAAAACAACTTGGGATACGAATTCAGAAAACAACTTGGGATACGACTTCTGAATGCAGACTGACAGAGTTTTGGAGCACAATTCTCCTGACCTCATGATCATGTTAATAAACAAAATATGGATTGTCAATGTTGCAATCCCAGATGACAGCAGGATTGAAGACCTTGGTCTGCACTTAAAAACAATTGACACTGACAAAATTACCATCTGTCAGCCGCAAAAGGTCACCCTGCTTGGACATGCATGCATTATTTGCTGATACATCACACAGCCCCAGACACTTGAGAAATGTCTGATGTGTAATCAAATACAAAAGCCAGCATAATGAACTTGTTTGCTACGTACTAAACTTGTTATGTATCAAATAATAATAACAATACTTTATTTATATGCCGCTCTATCTCCCTCAGAGGAATCAGGGCAGCTTCCAGGCAAAAAGGCAAACATTCAGTGCCTTGGTAATGAACAAACACAATCATAATTCCATAGAATTGAGCCATGGCAGTTAAAGTTATGTCTTTTCTCCGGTGTAGATGTAAGAATCCATCCTTTGCAGAGTTATTAAACGAGTCCAAACTACTTTTGCATTGTAATTCTGCTGCAGCATCTAAAATGTAAGCTGAGAACAAATGGGGGACATGGGAGGTAGAGAAAAGGAAACTGGGGCATTAAAAATGTGTGATGGCAGAAGATTAACTGGGACTGTTCTTGCCAGCTTAATGCCCAATGATCTTGCTCTCTTATCCCGAGCATGGTTTAAGCCAACCCTGCTTTCTTGAATCTATAATCCTCACACAAAAGAAAATTTATCAATTTTGTAAAATAAGTGTCTTATCAAAATAGTTCAGGAAAAAACTCTAAATCGTCAGCATTGTTTAACTCTGTCATATGTTTGCAATGCAAGCAATACATTTCAGCTTCCCTTTGGTTGAACACAAAACTAAAGAGGCAAAGAAGAACAATGACCTGGAAGCTTCTGCATATAGGATATAGGCAAGAGTATAAGATTATCTAATTATCTTGTGTAACCATATTCTTCAGAAAGAAGGGCACAGGGAATTTTGTACCTTCCAAACATGAAGTCAAAGTTACTTGTAACCAAGAGCTACAATAAACAGCCACAAAATGATTTTAAGAGGTTCACAGCAAAAATTGTTTCCTTTCTCATCAAGATTTGTTACTAAATACAAAGATCTTTTATAATCACAATACGAGAATATTAAAGGATTAATAATCCTGTCAAAAGTTAGGTCTCCTACATCCTACCAACTTTGGTGATGGCAAATATCCATAGATACTTAGAATGCCAGAAATGGGACTCCCAATTAAATAATTTAATTTGTGTGTGTGTGTGTCAGGAGTGATTTGAGAAACTGCAAGTTGCTTCTGGTGTGGAAGAATTGACCATCTGCAGGGATGTCGCTCAGGGGATGCCATTCTACCATCTTGTGGGAGGCTTCTTTCACATCCCCGCATGAGAAGCTGGAGATGACAGATGGGAACTCACCCCATCTTGTGGATTCAAGCCACTGATCTTCATGTCAGCAGTTTGGCTGGCACAAGGGTTTAACCCATTGCGCCACTGTAGCTCCTATTTATTTGATTTCGTTTATGTATTCTTACTATAAAAGAGGGAGAGATAAATTAGTCCAGGTAATATGCAACTACTGGACTTAGTAATAAGAATGCATCCTAAAACAACACTTCCTTGCAATGCTTGGTTGCTGGGGAAAACAGAAAGGATGGGCACATGACTTTCTGTTCCCCAGTCATCTTCTTATCTAGTAATGTACCATAGACCTTTAAGAAGCATCCAGACTTCCTTGGAAAACAATGAAAAACCACAAGCTTAAAATAACTATGTGGACCCATGCATCATGTTAGTATCTCTTCACTAATCAGCCAGGCAATTGTGGACTTCTCTCTACTGAGCCTCCCTTCCATTTCTTTGCTTGTCAAATGACAAACTGAATCACAATGGCCATAGAGCCCGGAATAGGGCCATACAGCCTGGAAAACTCACAGCAACCCAATGAATCACAGTTATAACTAATGAGGCCTCTTTGGACAACTAGTACTTTGCTGTGGGCCTGAATAGCATTAGCTATTTTAACATGTTTTCTTTCATTCCACAGTCATGTAAAGAAGATGTTTCAATATTCGACATTATTTTAAAAAAATATGGAGTAGATTGATATTTATTCTTAGCGTGGACCCATTACAATTGCAGCTTGTATTTATTTGTGAATTGGTGAAGAAAGAGGAACTGTCTTTCATGTAAATATTCCAACGGTGTCTCTCTATGCATCTAAAGTAGTGAGGGTAGCATATGAGGTTGACTTCAGCAGCTTGTCAGAGATGGCTGTCTCAAGTAACAGAAACTTGTGGCTAAGATCCATAAAGTCCCCTCTTCTGTATTTAATTTATTACATTTATATTTTGCCTTTCTTTGTTGAACGAAATCCAAAGCAGTTGCAGTTAAATACTATGAAGATTTTTAAAATACAATTTCAAAATGCATCCATTAAAGTAAATACATACCATGCCTAGTTCCCTTATAGCTTAACAATTTGGTGAGCCAAAATTATTTGTACGAATAGAAACACTCAGTGTACCTCTGGACTTATTCTAGGTAAGCATATCTGTGATTAGAAATTATTCTGTGATAGTAATCAGTATGAAGTGGTGTTTGTTCTTGAGCGATCTGAGCTTCACCACTCTTGAAAGTAGGAAAATGTTTTCTTATTATCAAACTCACTGAACAAACAATGCATTTATGTGACTTGACCAGTGGTCTGCAGATTGGTTTCCTTTCTTGAGATCAATCTGCTGTGCAAGCAAAACTATTTCCCACTTTCTGACTGTGGCACAAACTGGATTATGTTGTAATTATGGGATAGGGGGTGTTTGTTGGAAGATACTGCTTTTTGGCAAGAAGATTATAATTTCATGTAGATGGCCATCCAGCCCTGTTAAAAACATCCACCCCCTGTTTAAAACCTATCCAGAAACAAGAGCTGGCAGTCTCCAAATACTACCTGATCTGGGGGTGGTTTAAATCTGCAATTGCTCTGGCAGCTGACAAATTATTTCCATATAATGTCAAAGAAATTATATTTATCCTCTTTCTAATGTTATTTTGTATGTTCATTTTTTCAGATAAAGGTATAGCTCATCTTCTGTTTAACTAATTCTGTATTGATATTTTTTCTCCCATATTTTGACTATCTCCAGATAGATTTTGAATAAATGACTAGGGGAAGTTGTAACCAGTATTAATAAAATTAGGCAATTACTCTCTCTTTATTTGCCAGTTATCAATCAGTCTGAATGCCATAATCTTGGTTTTTTGGATGTTTAACTGCAACCCAGCTTTTGCCTTTTCTTCTTTCACCTTGGTTAGAAGGCTCCTCAGCTCTTCCTTGCTTTCAGCCATCCAAGTGGTATCACTCACTTCCCGAGACCACTGTGACCCCAAAGCGATGATTGATCAAGACCAGACTTGGCACACAGAGCCCCCATGACCATTCTATGTCCTGGTGCAGTTTCTGGGCTGATGGACCATGAACAATGGGACTTGCAGTATCTTCACTCGCTTCCTGAGACCACTGCGGCGCATACCAATGACCGATCAAAACCAAACTTGGCACACAGAGCCCTCATGACCCATTCTACGTCCTGGTACGGTTCCTAGGCTGATGGACCATGGACGATGGGACTTGCAGTACTTTGACTCGCTTCCTGAGACTACTGTGGCACATACCAATGACTGATCAAGACCAAACTTGGCACACAGAGCCCCCATGACCCATTCTACATCTTGGTGCGGTTTCTGGGCTGATGGTACTTGCAGTACCTTCACTCGCTTCCTGAGACCACTGCGGCGCATACCAATGACTGATCAAGACCAAACTTGGCACACAGCGCCCCCATGACCCATTCTACATCCTGGTGCAGTTTGGAGGAGGATGGACCATGGACAATGGGACTGGCATATGGAAGCTGTAGTTCACCAGCACCCACTGACCCCAGCCCACATTGGACCTAGACTAAACTTGGGGCACCTGCAACCAATGCCTTTCCCAAATCACCCGGGCACCTCCGAGTCCCCAAACTAGTTGTAAATAAAACTCCATATGAAAATGTGTTCAGAGGAATAGGGCTGAAAGGGCTGAAAGGGCTGACCGCTGGCCCCGCTTTCCCGCACTCCCCTCTTTACCTGCTATTCCGGCGGCGGCCACAGGGGGCGCGCCTTCGCGCATGCGTGTGAGCGTGCGTGCGCGAGCCCTGCCGGAGTGGGGCCTCCTCTTCCTCTCCTCCTCCTCCTGCTCCTGCTCTGCTGGGCCTGCCTCCCCTCCTGCCTGGGTGTCTGTGCCCGGCCCTCAGGGTGACTCCCCCGCGGCCTTCCCTCCTCAGTCGCTCCCCTCCTCAGCGCGATGGCGGCGGTGGCGGCGGCGGCGGCGGAACCCGGCCATAGCGGCCGGTACCAGCAGGTGAGGAAGCGGGCAGGGCGGCCACGCGAGCGCCGAGGCTTCGTAGGCCGCAGGCGGGGAGGCGCCTCTGTGTGTTGTGTGTGTGTGTACATCTCCCTCTGGGCCCTGTCTAGGAAGGAGAGCAGGGCGAGACGACACCGCCGCCGCCTCCCGCCTGCCAACCATGGCAGGACGGAGAGAACGCCTTTCGTCTTCCATTTTGGCCCCGCCGGATAGACCCAGGCCCTGCCCTGGCTGGTTCCGAAGGTGCCTTCCCCCAGTTTCCGAAAGGAGCCCCAGGACATAGGCGACGCGTTGGGAGGGAAAGGGCCAGGCGCCTCTGCCCTGAAGGAGGGAGGATCTCTTCTCCCTGAGCTGCTCTCGGCATGAATTTATGGCGAATCGCATCCCTAGGCTCCAGCTGTGTTGTTGTTGTTTTGTGGTTTCAGGGCGTGTTCGACTTTCGACACTGTCGGGGGGTTTCCTTGGCAAGATTGGTGCACGGAGGGTTTGCCCTTGCCTTCTTCAGAGGCTGAGAGAGTGTGACTTGCCCAGTGGGCTTCCGTGGCAGAGCCAGCGTCCGTGTGCTGGTCTACCAGTGTGTCTTCTGCACTGTCGAACAGGTGCAGTTTGGAACCACTCTAACTGCCATCGCTCAATAATAATAATAATAATAATAATAATAATAAAACTTTATTTATACCCCACCCCCATCTCCCCAAGGGGACTCCGGGCGGCTTACATGAGGCCAAGCCCAACAACACATCAGTAAAAACAACAAAGCAATAAGCAAATAAAACAATACAATTAATATAACTCACATATAGGCAATAACATGCAAAAAATTTAAAAACCTATGCTATAGAATTGTCATGGGATTTGTAGTTTGTTGAAGCGCCAGCACTCTTGGGCAGAGAAGGCTGAAGACCTTGTAGAACTACAACAAGGTTTCCAGCACTATTTATTTATTGTGTCAGAAGCGAGTTGAAGGTATCCTTAAATACATTTAAAAACACAAACAAAAAACCCCTTGGCATTATGCTAAATGCTAAATGACCTTTGACAAGATCAGGGGTCCAACTTTTTAAACAGAGGGCCAGCTCACAGTCCCTCAAACTGTTGGGGGGCTGGATTATAATTTGAAAGAAACATGAATGAATTCCTATGCACACTGCACATATCTTATTTGTAGGGCAAAAAACACTTAAAAACAACACAATAAGTAAAATGAAGAACAATTTTAACAAATGTTAACTTATTAGTATTTCAATGGGAAGTGTACGCCTGCTTTTGTCTGATGAGACAGGGTTGTTGTTGTTTGCTTTCAAGTTGTTTCAGACTTAGGTTGACCCTGAGCGAGGGCCGGGTAAATGACCTTGGAGGGCCATATCCAGCCCCCAGGCCTTAGTGGACTAGATCCACAGCACTGATCCATGGCAAGTGGTGTCAAATGGCATTCATTCTGAAATGTAGATGCAGCCATAGTCCAGTGCTGAAAGTACTACAACACACGAGTATAGGATACTGAATGGCAGGAACATAAAGGCTCCCTTTCAACATGTTGCTTCTGGAAGGTTTTTTAAAAAATGTAGTTCTACAGCAGTGGTTCCCAACCTGTGGTCCGTGGGCCACCAGTGGCCCGCAACAACTAAATATGGTCAGTGGCTTCATCGTTACTATATTGTTGCAATAAGAGCAACTGGTCTCACAAAACCCTCTTATAGTAAGTACCAAAGCTTATTAAATATGGTTTTTTTGTGGGCAAGCAGATGGTGATTACTGGGTGGCATATGTTCTGGATCAGCAACTAGAGCTGATGTGGTCTATCCAATGCAATTTCTGAATCAGCACCCCAAATAACCAAACCGAATCTAAAGTTGACCAAAAACTGATTTGTAACCCTTTTGGTACTAATATTGGAGAGTGGTCCCTGGTCAAAGTGGTCACTGGTCAGAAAAAGGTTGGGAACCACTGTTCTACAGTAATAATAATAAAAATATCTTTATTTATATCCTGCCTCATCTCCCAAGAGGTACTCATGGCAGCTTACAAGATAGCAGTAATGCGAACAGAAACAACATAAAATATACAACAATAATTTAATCAATACAAAGGTACACTAAAAGAAATAAAAATAAAACATGACAATGAAATTTAACATAAACCACATCAAATCAAAATAAAATAACAGTAAACATAACAAAAGGTTAAAAGTAATAATCATAATAAACTGTATTTAATCTAGACAAGACAGAGGTCCTCCTGGTCAGTCATAAGGCTGATCAGGATATAAGGTTACAGTCTGTGCTTGATGGGGTTACACTTCCCCTGAAGGCGCAGGTTCACAGTTTGAGTCCAGGATCATTCCTGGACTCATCGCTGAGCCTGGAACCCTGAGTTTCAGTGGTGGCCAGGGGAGCTTTTGCACAGTTAAAACTTGTGTGCCAGCTGCGCCCATATCTTGGGAGGTTGGACTTGGCCATGGTAGTCCACATTCTGGTTATATTCTGTATAGACTACTGCAACGTACTCTACGCAGGGTTGCCTCTGAAGACTGTTAGGAAGCTCCAGGTAGCCCAACTCTTGGCAGCCAGGCTGCTCACAGGGGTAGGGTACAGGGAGTGTACAACCCCCCTGTTACGCCAGCTCCACCGGCTGCCTATTAGCTTCTGAGCACAATTCAAAGTGCTGGCCTTGACCTATAAAACCCTAAACCAGGGGTCCTCAAACTAAGGCCCGGGGGCCGGATGCGGCCCTCCAAGGTCATTTACCCAGCCCTCGCTCAGGAGCAACCTAAGAGCCGTCGCAAACTCTGTTCCTGCGGGAGCAAACCTTGCTAGCACGTCCCTGACGTCATGAGCCTGCACTTCTCTCCCCGCCCCTTTCTCCGCCCCTTTCTCTTTGCCAGCGTGGTTTTTCCTTTGCTAGGGCAGCATTGCCCGCATTTTCTCTCAGTTGAATTCTGCCAACTGAGAGAGTATGCTGGCAATGCTGCCCTAGCAAAGGAAAAGCCACGCTCGCAAGGAGAAAGAGGCGGAGAAAGGGGCGGGGCAAGAGGTGGAGTCTCATGACGTCAGGGACGTGCTAGCAAGGTTTGCTCCCGCAGGAGCTGCGACGGGTCTAAGTCTGAAACGACTTGAAAGAACATAACAACAACAACAATCCTATCTCATCAGTCAAAAGTAGGCCCACATTTCCCATTGAAATACTAATAAGTTTATATTTGTTAACATTGTTCCTCATTTTAATTATTGTATTGTTTTAAAGTGTTTTTTACACTACAAATAAGATATGTGCAGTGTGCATAGGAATTCATGGGGTTTTTTTCTTCAAATTATAATCCAGCCCTCCAGCAGTTTGAGGGACTGTGACCTGGCCCTCTGTTTAAAAAGTTTGTGGACCCCTGCCCTAAACAGCTCTGGCCCAGCTTACCTGTCTGAACATATCTCCCTCTACAAACCCCTAAGGACCTTAAGATGGTCTGGAGAGACCCTGCTCTTGATCCTGCCACAATCACATTTGGTGGAAACGAGAGACAGGGCCTTGAACTGAGGGCTATGGATTGATCTGGAGGATGACATAAAATGGCATATTGTTTTAATGTATTTATGTTTTTAATGTAGTTGTATATTGTTTGGCACCGAATGGTGCCTGCTGGTAACTGTCTTAGGTCCCTCTTCAGAGGCAAGAAAGACAGGATAGAAATGCTCTAAATAAATAAATAAATAAATAAATAATATTTATATCCCGCCCCATCTCCCAAAGGGACTCGGGGCAGCTCACAACATAAATAATGCAATAAAACATAATACAGTAAACTACATAGGATGACATAAATAGTTAATAACACAAACAATCAATATAAAACAACAAAATATAATGCAAACAACCAAACAAAATTAAAAGTAAAATTATAAAACATTAGATTAAAACACATTTGTTCCTATGAGCTAAAGGGACTGCTACCTAAAAGTAAAAAGTTTTTAATTAACTTTTAATATTAATTAACCTCCAGCAAAGGATCACCGCCTTGTCGGGGCGCTGGAGCTTGAGCACCTCAATGATGTCATGAGCGAAACCGTGAAGGGCCACCCAAGACGGGACGGTTGTGGCAGAGAGGTCAGACCAAGCGTGATCCCTGGGGAAGGCAATGGCAAACCACTCCAGTATCCTTGCCAAGAAAACTCAATGGACCAGTACAACCAGAGATATGTCGGTATGCCATTGGAAGATGGGACTCCCAGGTCGGAAGATGGCCAAAATGCTACTGGGGAGGAGCAGAGGATAAGTTCAACTAGCCCCAGATGTGACGGTGCAGCTAGCTCAAAGCCGAAAGGAAGCCTAATGGCCAACGGTGCTGGAGGTGAACAACGAATCCGATGTTCTAAAGATCAACACAACATAGGAACCTGGAATGTAAGATCTATGAGCCAGGGCAAACTGGATGTTGTTATTGGTCAGATGTCAAGACTAAAGATAGACATTCTGGGGATCAGTGAACTGAAATGGACTGGAATGGGCCACTTCACATCAGATGACCACCAGATCTACTACTGCGGACAAGAGGAACATCGAAGAAATGGAGTAGCCTTCATAATTAATAAGAAATTCGCTAAAGCGGTGCTTGGATACAACCCAAAAAATGACAGAATGATCTCAATTCGAGTGCAAGGAAAGCCTTTCAACATTACAGTGATCCAAATATACGCCCCAGCCACAGCTGCTGAAGAAGCAGAAGTAGATCAGTTCTATGAGGATCTGCAGGACCTACTGGATAATACACCAAAAAGAGACATTATTTTCATTACAGGAGACTGGAATGCCAAGGTGGGAAGTCAAATGACAACTTGGATCACAGGCAAGCATGGTCTGGGAGAACAAAATGAAGCGGGACGCAGGCTGATAGAATTTTGCCAGGAAAACTCGCTGTGTATAACGAATACTCTCTTCCAACAACCTAAAAGACGGCTTTATAACATGGACCTCACCAGATGGTCAACACCGAAATCAGATTGACTACA